GTTACTGACATATGGAGTGCATGCTCTTAGCATCACAAAGGAGTATGAATAACTAGTACAAATAGATGGATATAACTTTTCTTTTGCATCCATAACTGCATTTTTAATTCAGAAATGTGGCAAATCACCATCAACTGCCTAAAGCCAGCATCACTGTGTATCTTCAAAATTATACAGAAAATTACTTCAATTAATGGAACACAACTTTACCAGCTATGGAACATTTTACTGAATAATTACAGCTTCCAGACATTTTACAAGATGTACCAAATTCAATCATAATTACATGAGAAAATATATGCAGATAAATACTTAAATTCTACACCTCACAAATCAAACTGACTTCTCCTTACTATTATGAAGTAACCAAGAGAGAAAGAAAAAGCCAGCACGTCACCAGCAAGCATCAGAAGGGTGCAAAAGGGTGACAGAATAATTTTGATTAAGAGGCTGCATGGAAAAACATGTTTCAATTTTGAGACTGTCCTCTGAAAGTTCTACCATCAATGAATATCCTCACTGTTGGCTTCCAGACTTTCTGGCAATTTTAGCAATAACCAACACACCTTCCAAATGCTTCAGATATTTTTCAGACATTTCATCTTGCATCCTTTTTCAGTGTTCTTACTTTGAAGAGAAACTTACAAAAAGCTTTGTATTTACATCATTTACACAACATTGCATAATTTTTTTCTTCTGTCTTCAGATCTGAAGCAGCTGATCACAACCTCAAATATTTTAAATATAGTCTAAGTTGCAAAAACCAAACAGTTTACATTAGTGTGGAGTTGTATTTCACTATTTTAGTAGACACCTTATCCCCGTAACAGTGCTACGAACACTGACAATACAGAAGTATGACCAGGCTTACTCTTAGTGTGACACGTCTGAGAAGTAACCAAGACCTTATATTTTAATAAGTGCTTATACAAAGTAAAAAAGGAAACTGTCCTTGAGAACACCGATTTGCTTCAGATCTACAATATTTTTAATTCAGTGGTATTCCATAAAATGGACGTCCTCTTTGTATTACTGCTTGGAAGCTCTCTTTAGCTTCATTGCAGAACATCAGGATTTATCCAGAAAACTTGCTTATCCACAGACAAGTAAACAACCTGAAAATACAGACTAATATATTCAACAATGGTTGCAGGCCACTGCAACAGTTTTGCAGTCTTTACAACACTGCTCTTTTCCAATATTTCAGCATGGCATCTCAATCATTTTCTCTTTAACCCATTCCAGCTCTCACCTCCACAATTAAAAGTACTTCACCTCCACTCACCTAGTGCACACTTCCTCAGCAAAGCCTCTAGCTGAGATTATATCATCCCCTGAGCATCAACTTTTCTATGATTGTATGAGTTTTCACTTCTGGGGGGTGGGTAAATAGGGAGGGGAGGAAATCAGCCAACTCTCTTAATATTGCTAAAAAAAAAATGTTATACTGCATCGTTTTACGCCTTCTAATCAAATGCCATTTCCTAATGTTGTTCTCTGATCATTTCTTACTTCTGGCCACATTTTTTTAGATCGTGTTGACCTCTTCCCACTCCCAAATGCTCAGCATCTTGTATTCTTTTTTTCATACCACGTTTGTTGAAATATATTTTCTTTTGCTTCAGCCTGAAAACTCAGACTGATCGACTGCAGTTTCTACTATCCATACAACCACATGGCACATTTCATTTTCCACAAGGACACCTTTCAGAAATCAGACTATTGTGCTTTAAAGCTGGGAATCCTATTTCTTTTTATACGTAATACTGCTATAATTTTCTTTTGATCTTCATTATTTTGTTCTCACTAACAAGAAAGGAAAAATTATTTAAGCTGCACAACTGCTCTACAAAAAAAATCTTTTCAGTACATCTCAACTTCTTGTTTACATCAAGCAGCAAAACTGCAAGAGATGTTAGCCATATTCTCTATTCAGAATTAACAATAAGAACAGAAGCAGCACAATATTTAAGCTAGGAAAAAAAGTGCATTTTCATTCTATATTCAATTCTGCAGTGAAAGCCTTTAAGCACGTACAGAAATTCGGTTCCAGTACAGGAGTCAATATTAATCAATTGTCCTACATTATCAAACCAAAATGCCTTCAGAACATGACCACAAAATGACATTTCTTTCAACTCTTAGACAATGTTTCTGTGGATTCTTTTGTTTCTTGATGTGAAACACATCAAGATTATCTTTAGAAAAAGGATTACTTAACTGAGAATTTGTTTAAATTGCAGGACTAAAAACTTTTTGCAGATAGCCCATATCGCTCTGTGGTACTTCCATGTTTGTATTTTTCTAAGCAAAAAAAAAGAAGTCAGTTAAAATGATAAATAAGGGGAACACAGAATCAGTGCACTGCCTATGCAAAACAAATCTAAAGCTCTTCCCTGTACTTCCTCCTTTTAAATTGTAGGGCAATAAAAATCTGTCATGAAAAATCCAGTCTGTGAATAGAATTGAAAAGCTTCACTTAACAGAATTGGAATGCCAGCAACCAAATGCTATAGAAATGGAGGTTGTGGGCCACACAAAAAACTGAATTCCACAACATATAAACAATTCAGGCTTTAAACTGATTCATGGGAGCAAAGATACTCACTTCAAAATTTCACCCTTATCTTACTGAAAACCAAATTCTTAAGGAAAACATGTATTTTAAGTCAGAGTTGGCTGGATGCTGATACATTACGATCGCTCAGCGTATAGGAATACTAACACAATCTTTTTCAAATAGCACAGATTTTACAGAATTATGAGACACAACACAACAAATGAGCAAACTCACAAAGCAGAGGGCAGCAGTACTTTGAACACAACTTGAAAAAACAAAACCTGTAAAGCCAGCCAAGAAAAATAAATTATTTAGAAGACTAAACATTTATTGAAAAAAAATCCTAGAATATAACTTTGCTGTTAGCTAAATCCCCACTCCTAAAGTACTGCTTAAAAGCCATCCAAAAGAGTCATCATGGAATTGTATTTCTGATGACGAAAAAGAAGTCCGCTCCTCCACACTTTACAAGTTTTCTTCAATTCTGAGGATTCCATCATATAAATGCATTCATAAAACATTTTCCACCAGAACACTAAGCCAAAAGGAAATTAAGCAATGGACCCACATACCTCAAACTTGTTTTCTTCGAGTAGTAAAAACAGCAAAACTTTTAAAAACAGATTGCAAATCATTATATATATATATGAACATAACAACTTGGAATTATCTTGTTTCCCATCTGACAAGCTCAATGAATCAATGTTGTCACCCAACTACAAGATACACGAGCTTATAAGGAACTTCCAGAACTTCCCTGCATTTTTGTAGTACACCACCACCCAGATCAGTTTTAAAAAATGGAAACAGATCCTCAAACTATGCAACTATTATCTAACCAAACCATTCACGTACTAGGTTCTTAAATTTAACACATTGTGCTCATATATTCAATAACACAACTGGGACAGAAAGACCTGAAATTTTTTCTTGCAATGCAAACAAAAGATGTGTACATGGGTATGCTTCTGACTCACATAAAGAAATTCAGTTTAAAAACTCATATGAATTACACTCTGATGAATAAGAAAATATTTTTACAAGCTGTTGGAGCAGATGTACCATAAGAACATAAGCTCATGCGTGCTCTTTAAAAAGATATTGGAATATTTCAGTATTTAGTAATGTTTACTAACTTAGTGAAATTTCTGTAACAAAGTGGCAGACTATAACATTTCTATTCTGTTGGCATCAGTGATGCCAGCAGAGAAATCATTTACATCACATTGACTGCCTCCAATAACCTCTCCACAGAAAGATGATTTTCCCAGTTTTAGTCCTCTTCAGGTTTTTAACATTTCTGGAATAACAATTTAAGTGTTTATTCAAATTCAAAATCCATAGAGATATTCTAGGAAGTAGGAAAGAGGTTATGCATTTATCTGATTCCAGTGCTCTTCATGAATAAGACTAACATCAGCAGAGTGCATAATGAGTTGAGTTGAAGTTCACATCATAGAGTGAGGAGAAAGGTAAATGATTTAAAATGTGCTAAAGTAAGTAGCATTTACTTGATACGGTACATTTGCAGAATTACCTTTAAAATCATTCACTAAACAAATATCAAATCATCAGGCTTCAATACGCTAATGGGTGCTACAATGGGAGCAAACAGGTAAATGGTGCCTTCTGGATTAGCCATAGGAAGCTGATATGCTATGAAGAAGTCACTGATGAAGAGGAATTATGGGACAGAGATACTAAAGAGACCCTTTACCCACAACTACTGTATGCGAAGCTTCATCTTCAAATAAGCTCTGGAATGTTATTCTACATAAAACGACCAGCAAGCAAAGTGCTTCTCAGTTGCAAACAGGTATACCACTATAAATTCTTCTAATTAACTGGTAAATTGCATTTAATATGAAAAAAATTAAAAGCTTTTAGTCAAATCTGGACTTATTGGTTTCCATGATTATTCTTTACTGCAATGCTTGTGGCTTGTGGCTTAATCTTAATAAATTGATTTTTAAGGACCTGTTTCCTATCAGCACCTCTCCTCTCAGACAGTCTGTCATTGCTCAGTAACAGAATCAGTAGGAGGCTCTTAATCCCACCTCTCGCTCATGAGGAATTCTTATTTTCCTGAAATATTTTAAAGTGCATAAAGGATTTTCCTCAGTTATTTATACAGAGTTATTTCACTAATATTTCAATTGCATGATCACAGCCTCTATTAAACAACTGGGATTCTTGAAGAATCTGGTATGAATTGGGTGCCCACTGCAGAAAGCCTTTAAGCTGATTTTGTATAGTGCTAGAATTGCAGATTTCAAAGTTATAAAGTCTAGGCACTTATCTCATGATTGTTGAGGACCACTGATATAATTCTTTCACTTGCTCAGACAAGCATGGGCAATTCTTAAAAAAAAAAAAATCACAAAGTATGTAGTTTAGAATTCAGATAATGGAAAATACCTACAAGTAAATAAATAGAAAATACAATGTATTCACGTGTTTAATTATAAATATTTCTAATACATTCTTGACTATTATTACTTCCAAATGCATTTCTTACATCTTCTAGCAATGACCATTTTTGGCAATACTGCTTATTAAAAGTATAAAAAGCCAAAAATGCCAAGTAACTTTCAATAAACACTACCATAAGTGTCTCCCAGATCACATCTGAAGATATTTACAAAAAAAAAAAAAATTGAAGAAGTAGGGGGAAAAAAGAATACAATTTAAACAGAGGAAATTCACTGAAACCTCTACATTTTTCTTCACAGTAACCCAATATCCTCTGGCTGACCACGTACAGCTGACTCCACCAAGGAGAAAAACCTGATTTTTTTTTCTGAAGTGCTGTTGGTAATCACAATGGTGGCAAAAAGGTTTCCAGGTCACGGTACTTGGAGGTCAGTGCCTATTTGAAGGAATTTATCTCATAGAAAAGAAAAACTGTGAAACAATCACACAGCTGAAATATAACTATTAGTTTAAGGTTGGCAGGTTCCACTGGAACAAACTCATCGTAGCTAATCTTAATATCTCCCAAGAACCTTTAATGATATCTTGAAAGAAACTAAAGAAGTGCAAACTGACTGCAAAGGGACACAAATGGAAAAACTAAGCGTGCTGCATGTTTTCAGGCAGTTATGTTTGCCTATCTAAACTTCAAGTCTGAAGTTCTGAATTGCAGTAAATAGACAGATTCTCCAGCAGAATTTAAGTCAAGCAGCTTTTCAAGTGGATTTGTCACGGAACTTTTCGACTGCAAGTCTAATGCTCTTCCAGAAAAAGCAGCAGTCTAAGAAGCTAACAGTCCAGGAAGCCTGCAAACTAAAGCGAGGTATGCTGCTGAGGTCACTGTAATTTCAGAAGCTTTTCAGCCATTTACATGTCTTCTTCCCAAATTGCTATCAACTTAAAGATTTCTTCTGGTAAGTCTATAGTATCTCCAAATCCACATGACGAACATCAGGATTTCGTTGCTGAAAAAAAAAATACATTTTTATTGAAAATATTCAACATTTTCACAACTAGATACAAATAATAGATTTCTAGTACGATGCTGGCAACTGGATAACAAATTCCTTTTTCTCGTAACATCAATGATTTTAAAGTGAGGAATAGGTTCAACAAATATAGTCATTACCAGGAGCTATTCTGAAGACTAAGTCGTCTTTTTATTTGACAAATACTTTTTAACTTCACAGCTGAATTAGCTCATGCTTTATAAGGTATGAAAGAGCCATTATAATTTTTAAAAGGCAATTAGTTTTTACATAAAAAAATCTCCCAAATAAAAAATACTTAAAGTGATATACTTGCATATAACAAGTAATTTGCAGAACAATGGATAATTGCTGAAATAATTTGTCATATGTCATCAAAGCTATTTCACTCAAAACGCTGTTTCTATTAAGATATATGTATTTTTCAATATTGTGTTTCATTACATGGATTGTATAATCCATGACAGGTTTACTGAGAGTCACCAACTTCAAAGCCACGTGAATCTGAAATTCCCAGCTATACCAAACCCCAGTATTCATGTTAATGAAATCATTAGTCATGAGCCTGCCATGCCTTAAAAGCCATGAAGAACTTGATCTGCTGATGCAATTACATCCCCAAAATATTTTCATTTATAAACAACACCACTCTTAGGATATAAACTAAAACTAGAATATCAATCAAAAATGATAAACAAAGACAGATATGCTCTTGAGCAGAATCCCCAGATTAAGGGAAAAGATGGTCATAACACTAATGAGCAATGAGTATACATGCAGCTCTATATTTGTGCCAGAAAAGGTAAAATTAACAACCACAAAATAACTAGAAACTTAAAAATGGCAACAATTTGTTGCATTAACCAAAATATATTTAAATCTTAGAATGAAAAAAAAGAGATGTAATGATAAGAAAGTTATGACAGGCCTGTAAGAGCAGTGAATACTGTTCAGATTCAACATGAGCAGAATATGTTGAGTAATTAGAGCTCTCACCACACAGCGATATCAGTTTCAACAGAACACTAGGCATCAGATTAAAAATAAAAAAATTGAAATTTCCTTCTTTACAACCAAAACAAAATTCACTGCCTGTAGATAACCTGACATCATGAGAATATGCTAGCATTTACAGGGCACGGGTCTTATTTTATGAAAGCTGTGTTCTATAAATAAAACTGACCCAAATGCAAAACAAAGCAAAGGTTTGCTGCTGTTCAGAATTCAGTGAAACTACAGCAAGAGAGTTGGCATTAAAATCAATCACCTCTTCTCCTCTCTTGTATTTACATAAACAATCCCAAGAAGTATAAGCAGTGATACCATTTGAAATATATCAGAATATACATTCTGTACTAAACAGCTAAATTTTACCTTTAAGTCCTTCTCAAGTCTGTCCACTTCAGCTCCCAGCGTGTCAATGATATTCTCACCATGCTTAAGCATGAACGCTTCTAATTCTTCTAGGGTCTTTACTTGCTGAATTTCCTTGCAAGAAATCAAATTCAAGAGGTTGAGTAAAGGGTGGGGGGTGATGACAGTGTTAGAAATAACCCTGCAGAGGGTTCTGACATATTTAATAGGAATGAAAATGCAGAAAAAGAAAAAAGCTAAAAAAAAAAAAAGCAGATGCCTTCGCTATTTCCTTTCAAAACATCACCTACTGACATATCAAAGGTACAGAAGTATATTTATTTGATGCAAATAGCTGGCTCATCATTACACCTCCATTTGACATACAGTTTTCTTTTCCTCCTTTATTTGCAAACTAAGCCTAGAAAATTTCATTCAATTTCTGGAAGCTTCTAGGATATCACTTGCTGGCAGAGCAGGATACTGTATTTTTTCATTATTTTCATGCATTCCTGCTTATCCATATACTGCTTAGCCTGGGAGTCACATTACAAACTCATCTTAAATCCCACAACAATTACTGTGAAAGCTGCTGTAAGTAATGCTCCTCAATAATATGAAAAAGAAACTCAAAGACAGCTGATAAGAACTAAGAGCAGGAGATCAAGTGTATAACAAACTGAAACAATAAGGTTAAGGAAGATAGGATGCTACAGTCCTTGATTTCCTCAGAGCTTTTACACCCAAGAAGCAAGCTGACCAGAAGCCATTTAACCTCTAGTATTCAGCCACAGAGTGGATGATACAGCTGCAGTATAGGACAAACAGGTGATTTGTAAGACTCAGTAAAAGAGCCAGTTCATCATGTGTATACAAATACAAAACAGCTTTGTTTTCAGTTTTAGAGTAATGGGATAGAAGAGATTAATAATGTACCAGAATAAGCTTAAAAAATATCCCCCCATCCCACTGATGTTGGACTATCACAAGGGCAAGTCTAACAAGCAAAAGAAGTGAGATTAACCTGAACGACAGCACTTCAACTGATAAATTTTACTACTTCAGAATAAGCAGTGTTGATACCATTACAGGATAAGCTAGTAATTCAAAGAAACAGACAAAAAGGCAAGCGTTATGTCTGCCCTTGATTATGGATGACTGAGTCCTACTGAAAGTATCTATCCTTTAATGATGTTTTTCATAGCTGACACAAGTGTGCTACTGAACAGCTGTAAGAGCAAAACAAACCAACTCAGACTTGGCAATATAAAAATCAAGCAAACCTGTGTTTCCTGTTGCACAAATCCGATAGCTCTCTTCCTTCCAAAAAGTATATTAAATTGAAATCCAATACATGAACAGATCACTTATTGCCTTCTCTCTATACACACACACACACACACACACACACACACACTTTTATTGTTATTAAAGAGCGGTATGTTTTAAAAATTGAAACATGAACTAATGGCTTAAAGACTTGCAGTAATTACACACAAACTTAGACAACTGCTAAGTCATCTTTAATGAACGCACATACAATGCAGACATCAAATTTTCATTTTGAAAGAACAGCAGAGAAAAATCTGATAGCTACAGAAGTAAATGCATATAATAAATAGTTACTTGTGAAAATAGATGAGTCAGCAAAAGATTCTGCCTACTTAAAATTCTCCCTGTAGTTTAGATAGACTATTCTTTACTTCAGACTTCATAGCTTTACTATGTAAAATTAACCCAACTCAGTGGGGTTTTGCATTTCAATACTGAAGGGAAGGATTTAAAAAAGCTTCTCTGAACTACTCTAGAATCAGTACATCAAGGATGGTTAATTGATGAATGCGAATGCTGTCAAAATGCTGAATCACACCATGCAAACAATCCATATTCAAGTCTAGCCTGAAAGGCAAGATATATAAACTGCCACTGCATCTTTAATACCCAAGGCAAATACCCGTGCCAAAAAGCATGCTTATTCTTAGGTGATAGGCTTCTAGCTTTGTCTGAAGCTGTTGCAATTTAAAAAACATTTATTTGATGAGCTGTATTCTCACCAGAATGATTTTAGACAGATCTGCATTTTTCTAAGTTGATTTAAAAATCTGCCCTCCTTCTTACTCAAGCCCTGCTAAGCCCAGAAATGGGTCTATCTCAGCAGCACGTAATTACAATTCTGCATACAGATACACTAATACAAAGTAAAGACATCTGCAAACCTTCAAAACGAAGAAGTCATTTCGATGTCTCATCTACTTGAAAAATTTGTAAGTACACTTCAAGCTGCAAAGCAAAATCAAATGCTGGAAGTAACAAAATCACTTTGTTTAAACATACTTGTAGCAGCTGTTCAATGTCTTGTTTTTCCAGGTAAGAACGTGTAACAACCCGTCCATCGAAGTCTACTTCTGCCTTGAATCTCACTTTGCTCATTCCCATGTCTGTGGCTTTAACATCGTGAATTGCTCTGAAACCATAATTTTTAAATTTGAAATTATTAAAATCATTTTGTCATCACGCACTTCCACTAAATACTGATTTATATTTAACTAGTTATATCACTCCCACAGGTACCTGCTACACCAACACAAGCATCCCCACCTATTAAAGGGATGGCTACAATAAAATGCAGACTACAAGAAGCATGGTAGATTTAGAATCAGATCTGTAACATTTGAGAAAGAATTTTAAAATAAGCTTTTAGCTTTTAAGTACAAGTTATTCGATACCACACGGAAGGTTCTGTGCTTTCCTCCACTCTAAAACATAATTTATTCTGGAATTAAAAAAAGGTACATGCAGCTATTTAAAAATCCTTAAGTACCCTCAATTCTGAAGTAAGAACCAACTAGCTGATTCGTGGTAGTTACTGAAAGGACTCATTGCAATTACAGAAATGCCCTTTCCTCACTAAATGCACAGTTGTAAGGGTGTGATTTGGAGAATTTTCTATTCCAAGCTACATTTAACACATGAAAAAGTACTGGATGTTGTGTCTAGAACTCATTTTTGATCATACTGAATAATTGATCATGACTAATCACAGTACAGCTGGTGACAATATTTATTTATTCAAAGGACCCTAAAAGATGCTTCAAGATGAATGTTGCAATATTTTGGACAACTGAATCCTTCTGGTTCTTTATTGTATAGCTTTACTCAAGTTTGCTAGATAAGTTCTATGATGCATAAATAGAAGCAATAAGCAAAAAGCCCTATATTTTTTCAGGGATAGGATACAAATAAACTTCAGATTGAGACATACTGTAGTTCATTTCAGCAGTTCAATACTTTAAAATAATAATAATGAAATTCTTTTACCTTTATTTCCTTAGTTAGATTAACAAAAACTTACTTAACACAAGAAATTAAAATTGTCACTGCATATTAAGGTTCCACATTTTTCCATCCAGGCCAGAAAAAAGTGGAGACTAAAATACAGGACGTGAATTGCAGAACATTCAAATTTTTGAAATTTGTTCAGACACTTCTGAAGCATTCCTGACAATGCAGGACTTTAACAAAGGAATAGCTGAAAGAAATGAAAGGTCTTTTTTTGTTTGTTTTCCTTCAGACCTTGGAACAGACTACAGATAAATAAATAAATACCCTAAAATACTGTAGCTGATTTACTCAGAAACATATTCACAACTAAAGATCAATAAGAAAACCAGAAGTGTTTTGCTTCTAAATTAAGGCTAATAGGGCTGAAGAAATCCAAAATAGCTCCTTAAAAAGCATTTATTCAAGATTTCTGAATTACAATGAGCTCTAAGTTTGCTATTTCCAATTGCAAATCTCCAAAGAAAGAGAAATTAGCATTGCGTTCATTCTGTAAGCATCTAACGTGCAGAATCTATTATACCATAACATTACTGCAGCACTTCAGTGGCAGCTGCTACTGAACTCCAGACACTGAATATTAACAGTAACACAGAGTTAAAACAGTTAAGTCTTATAAGCTGTAAAAGCAACATGGCAGCATCATTTTTGTGCTAGTATTTCATGTATTTGAAGTTACTTCTAAATTTGTCACAGCCTTCTCAATTAAGTCATGTGACAATTCTGGGAATTAATGTAGCTGTTGTTACACACATGCAGTTTCCTTTCAGATGTGGAACATCTGGGAGGTAGAAGCATTCACTTATTAAAATTTTTAGCACAGAAGTTAGTAGCAATTAACATTCTAAAATCTCAATACAGAAGATTCCACCTTAAAACTAGAAGACTTTTCTTAAGTGCTCTAATGATTTTTCCCATACGTTATTTTCCAGCTTTTCTGCTTCTGTTCTGTAGAATTTTTGAGTTGCAAAGATTCTCACCTTACTACAGGATCACTTTCCAGTAACTCAGTAAGTCGCTGCAGTTGTTCAGGTTGAATAGATCGTCCCAGCAGGGCTTCAGTGTTAGTGTAGATTAGAAATGCTGACACAGTTCCTAGCAAAGTTCCAACGCCAAGAGACCCCACACTGTCATAGTATGGGTTTCCTAAACAAGACATCTCAAATTAGTTTATGGTGCATTTCTAAAACATATCAGGTAATTCAGATTTCCCACTGAAAGGAGTACACAGTTTGTTCAGATGTGGTTTTTTGTTTTGTTTTGGGGATTAGCAATTCTTTACTACCAATCAACAAGAGGAAGTTAGAAGAAAAAAGTTATCATTAAGATAAAGCCTCAAATCCCTCTCTTCTCTCAGATCGAAAATATCATATATTCCTTTCTACTGCAATGCTGATAAATGAGAACACTGTTCAGTTATTTGGGTTTCTGTTTATATGTTTAAACATATGTAATAACACAACCAAACATCTTTGTTCTTTAATCAGTGAAGCAGCATTGTTTTATGAATTACATAGCTATCATTTTGATGGAAAACAAAACAGATTTCCTACATGATCTGTCCTATCAACTCAAATACTTTCAAGTATTAGCCATTTCCAGAACACAGTATTTATATAACGGACATTAAACATGTATTCAAATTGGTGGAAACAGTATTGTGTTTGAAATTTACAAAGGAAACTAGAGTTGGAATTAAAAAAATGACTTCTCCATAAAAAATTTAAACTTGCAACATATTTGTTAAAAGCCACAAACACAAAATTGCTGTACAATTATTTTAAAAAGTCAAAACCTTAAAAAGGAGCAAATAAATAACATTCCCTCAATACATTTTAACTGTGCAAAGACGGATTTTGAACCAGTTGCTATACAGAACATGCATGATTTGGGTCTGCCACATTGCTCGAGAACACTTATTAAAATCAGAATATAATACTAACACCATTACATATCAAAAGGAAGGAAAGAACTGCTTCTTTAAATCCCCACCCAACATGCACATGCAGCTGAATACCACTGATTACAGAAGTGCTAATTATGTAGAATATATAATTTAAATATGTGACTATAACAAGCATATTTTTAAAATATCTTAGCTTGTCCATGAAAACAGCTCAAAAGAAAGTTAGATCCATCCGTGGACATGTACTTTTTCAAGCCTAATCCCTTTAATAACAAACATAAGGAAAAAAAGACTTAATTTTTTTTTAAATACTTTTAACTCAAATTACTGGAAACTAGATCAGAGAACAGCACAAATTTCTGAAAGCCCACAGAAGTTCAGGGATCAGAGAAGAGTAGAGCTGTATTTAAGCCAATCAACGCAAGCCAAATACTCTGTGTTCATATAATTAACAGGAAGAAATTCATACTCAGTTTGCCTCAATTTGAGGCAGAATTTTACCTGTTAAAGAAGTCAGACCCATACAGGTAGCAGCTACAGCCACGCTCAGAACTGCTGCAGCATCTTCCAGTAACACTACATTGGTACTTGGATCACGACTCTGCACAACTGCACACACAAAAAAAATCAGACTGCTTTGGAAATCTTAGTTTCACAACATTCTGCATAGTACTCTATGAACAATATTAACACTATCAAATTAGACAAAAAGATTCCTTAACTTTATAGTTGTAAACTGTGCATTCTATATGCTTTCACAAAGCATTCACAAATAAAGAGAACAAACCCAGTGGCTACCATGGAAACAATTGTGGAAGTTTCTCCTAAACATTTCAAAACTGTAAAGCAGTATTTATTTTAAAAAAAGAAAAAAAAAAAAAGCAAGTATTTCAGTAAGAGTATTTAAGTACTGCTACTTAAATCAACAGGTTATCATCCAATTTGTAAAATGTCTTTCTTACTAGAATAGAAAACAAACCAATAAAGCAGGGGTAAATTGGAAGTGAAGAGACAAAATTATTTCTATAATTATGCAAATGGAAACAAATAGATTCCGTTTTAAATAATCACATACCTTACTGCTACAAGAATACATACCATATTGATAAAATGACAGACCCTTGGCTCGAGCACTCCTGCGGATTTCATTTATAGCAACAAGAAGGGTAGCTGAAACAAGACCAAAGTAGCTGCTGAAAAAATTAGAGGCAAAAAAAAGTGTTCATTTTGAAAAGGGGGGACTTTTCTTCGTATCATCACAACAGATCATCAAGAAAGAAATCTGACTATTTATTGATTCTCTGGCAATGCAGAAAGTATCCTTTTCTACACATGCCTCCCCATTCAAATCATCAGTTAATCTACATGGATAGTTAAATACCAAAAAGGCATTCTAGATATACTTCCAAATGATGTATTTTTCAACTTCTTATTACAAATAGATAAGCAAAGTTTTCCATTTCTTTTGTTTAGCACAGCTGTCACCAACAGAGTTCAAAACTTTACTGCTGTGTAAGGACTGTATATAAGGAATTACTCACAATATTGTCTCAGACATTACAAATATTTTAATAGAAATACTTCTTGGAGCTACATACCTCCTTCAGATACCAATGACCCTGCCAAAATGCAGTATGCCTGTATGGGGTGGGGATGAAAAAAAGAAATCTCAGTTCCTGTCATATTGATCTCTTCGCCACAGACTACCTTAAAGCTGCATTCCAGAATGCCATTAGACACCTTGCCATGTAGTTGTTCATAAATAGAAAAAGTGATCTTGCAACCAACAATTCTTGAAATAGACAATATATTGTAAAATAGAAAAGGATCCTGGGAGGCAAAACCTCAAAACATGGTCATTAAAGATGGTTTCAGTTAAGTGTGCTGGGATTCAAAATGACTCAGGAAGTGAATTTCAGAGGGTGCCATTACTTTCTATTAAGTCAGCAGTACCACGTACAGATATAATAACAAAACAACATTAGCTTACCCAGAGAAGAGATTCTATAGGATGAGGGTGGAGTAAACCCATGATTCCATGATACCAAGAAAGTCCTGCACCCATCATGAAAATGCCCACCCCACTAATCAGGGAGGCAATATAGCGCATGTTTGTGAAACCATACCTAGAGATAAATAAAGAAAGTGATTTAGGAAAATAAGTTACCACATCTCTGCAAACATGTCTACAAGCTTTCTCTGCGACCACTCAAAAAACATTATCAAGTAAATACTAAGACATCAAGCACATATATTTATCTAATTCCTTTTCAAACAAACTATACTAGCTGTACTAGGTCTTAGAGACTGGTTTTTTTCTAACTACTGTAAAAAAATTTTTCATGTCGCTTTTACATTATATTGAAACGCTACTTCTAAACAAAAACTTAACCTTATAGGCAGCTAGTCTACACATTTTTTTTAATGCTAACGAAAAGGGAAGAAAACTTTGACATTTTTATTTCAGCTAACTGCAAACCTTTAATGCTTGCAGTCTTTATGAGCAGAGAGAAGAGGCAATGCAATATCACAGTGTACCTTTATTCCTTATATTAACTGCTACTTACAAACAGTACATCTCTCAGTGACACTTAAATAGTAGTACGTAATACCAGCATGGAAGAAGCGAAAAATGTGATTGTTGAAACATTCTTGGCTTCTCCTTCCAGTAAGCTATTTAATTAAAATTAAATTTCTTCAAATTACTTGAAGCTCATAATGGTGAAAAACTGAAGTTATTACGTAAATGAGACATATATTAAACTATTGCTTACAATTAAAAATGACTTGCCCAAATATGTAAACTGTAAAGCTTAAGACCAAGAAACCAGTCATGGAGATGGTAGCTTCAGACGTTCGTGAAGCTGTAAGAATGTATCACTAAAACCTGTTACTTAGCTAAGAGCAAACAGTAATTTGAGTCAAACACCTCTTCTTGAAATACAAGTACGTTTGCTTGCAAAAAAAAAAAAACAGAAAACACTCTGTTGGGGTTTGAGCTTTTTGTGGTGTTGTTTGTATTTTAAATGTTAATATTAATGTGAATAATATGTAAAAACAACAAATCTAACCACTGGAAGAGGCAGAAGAGTTCAGAATAGCTTAAAAAGAATAAAGCCAATTAAAACAGCGCACATCAAAACACATAACACAACAAAAAGCATTAAGTATAATATGTATCAAGTCACTGAAGCTAGAACTCCTGCAGTTTGGTAGAAATCTGTTTGTTTTCATTTTTTCCTCATGTTAAAAATAACATGCATTTCAGAAATGATATAAAAATGGCACATATAAAAAGAATAAAAACTGCACAAAGCTGGTCTTACTCCTACATATGATTACTGAAACCATTATTTACTCCAAAAGCTTACGGATGACTAGGGTCAGGTGTTCTTGCAGACTGACTGATGCCCAAAGCTAGCAATGCCTATTTAAGACAAAAAAAAAAAAAAAAAACATTAATTGAAGAAAATATTAGCACAAAAACATGACAATTAGTGATATTCTGTTTCATCTGAACTTGAAAGAGGAATAAAAGCAAATGCAATGTGCTGATTTGCACATACGTTTTTGTTCTTTGTGTCTTATTAGAACTGGAGCATAACCCTTAGTAACTGTTAATCAAATGTAACCTTTTTTCTCCCCATAAAAAAATTGTTAATTAAAACTGTAAGAGATTTTAGAATTGTAACCTGAAGTGAACACCGCATGTAAGGAAACAAAACCACTTACACAAATTCCTTTCAAAGAGTTACTATACAGAGACTATGGCAAAGGAATATAATTTTAAAGCAGTAATTTCATAATTCTCAGCATTCTTTTACCAAGCGAGGACTAAGCAAACTCTATCATTCTATTACCATACCTGACAGGAAAAGTTTTTCTACTTAACATTCAGATAAAATAATAAAGAGGCATACTTTGTACATCAGCTTTGTTTCATGTCTCACTGACGATGCATGAACTAGATGAATACAGTTCTAATTATTCTCGCTCCTCTTTCAACTTACTTCGAAAAAAACTTTCAGAATTTACATTCTGACTTGTCTCATTCTTACATTAACAGAGATTAAAATTTAATTGCTGAAGTATGAGGACATGCATGCAATAAGAATAATATGATCAATATATCATTCTTGTCCAGGATGAGCAGGGATCAAGGCAGAGAGGGGTGATCATGTACACTAAAATTCAGGTATTTGGTTCTGATTCTGCTTTCAAAAGGTAAGACTGGTTACATTATGCATACGCATAGTGACAAACAAGATGAGGAATAAGTCCCAGGACAATCTGTGACTAATAATTGAACCTGTATAAACTTTATCAGTGTACTTTCATCCTGTAATTTGAAGAGAAAGTAAGTAGCAACTGAAATAGGAACAATGAATTATCTGAAAAAAGTAACAGCTTAGAAGGCTGAAAGTAACCACGGGAGAGGTAAAATAATGTATATATACTACAAATGGAATTATCAGAGCATAAACACTAGCCCAAATATTAAAATGGGTTTTTATTTATAATCAGAGATAACTCTTTCTAGACTCTGCAAATAAGGCCTCTAGATTTGGTCAATTACTCCACTGTTGGTTTATTAACTCCCTGCCAAATTACAGACGTTAGTGTAAAGAATAAAAGAGCAGCCAGATAAGCCTGCAGCAATCACTGTATTTGACAAGCAAACGTGCAACAGAGTAGCAACAACACTGCACTCAGATTGCAGAACAGCAGGAAGAGCCCTGGGTTTAGCAATGTTTCTGAAGTAATGCGCATTTCTGACAAAATATGCCTTCATCAGCCTACAATTTGATAAGAACTATACACAATAACAGTACGTTTTACATGATATTCCCCCTTGCCTCCAGAAAACTAAAAATGCACTTATTTATTACTCAAATGCAGTGAAGAGTACATCGTGCTCCTCCTGCATGTATGCATAGCCTGGGTAGGCTTTGTAATCTGGATGATTTAAATCAAAAATTATTTAATCATTGAGAAGACCACAAAAAAAATGCTCTCTCAGATGTAACTGTTCAGTTAAATAAAAACTAAGACGACTTTCAATGGCCTTTAGATTAAATACTAACTAGTACACTGAATTACTGCTTTCCAGGATGATAAAAATATTCTGTCTACTTTTATTCTTACAAAAAAATAATTACAAATACTCACTGAAGCAGCATGAAAAAAAAAAACTCACCTGGTTGCATGTGTCTGCTAAAGAATGTATAGCTTCTGAAAACATACTTGCAGAACCCGTGTAAACCCAAGCAAGTAGCTTAAAGAAAAAATTCAACCCATTTCTAAAAATAAAAAGAAAAAATAAGCTAAAAAACATCCGAATGTTTGGTCTTTAACATTTTCAGCAAAACTAGAAGCAGTGCATAATCATGCAATCACAATTCCCACTTATTAGAGGAACATCCAGTAAGGACAGAGGAAAGTTTTCAATCAAGTGAAATTCATGAGGCAAAAAGGCACGTCATTTCAAAAGAAAACTAAAATAGCTAAACAAGTATCTTTGCATAAATTTCCATTTTTGCTCCTTTGTATTAACAATGTCTTAGTAAAGAAATAATTCATTTTAAATATATATTTTACAGATCTTACAGGTCTTATGAGATACGAAGTAGCCACCATTAAGCCATACTTAGGAAAACTTCACATATTTTCATGTATGACGCCAGACACTCTCTATGTTCATTTCCTTTAAAACTGGATTATTAGTTTCATTTTCTTGCACTCAAACTTGTAAGACACAGTACTGAGTGACAGTAGAAAGAGAAAATGGTGTCATTTGCTGCTGTCATACCAGATGTACCAAATAAAAGCTTCCTGTCACAAGGGAACAAGGACGAACAACTTTAAACATCTGCATCTGCATGTCCATCATAATGTTGGTTTTAGCTTTAATAAATCACTTAATAGTCTTCAAAAAAAATTTGCTCTTCTCTGATCAGAGAGATACTTTCTCTCTTATCTCCACACATTGATGAATGTATTTACTGAATGTCTTTCTCACCAGCAAGAAATAAACAAGTCTATTAACTCCAGTTGCAGAGTCAAAGGTATCTTCACCTTCAGTACACAGAATGTTCCCTTTCCCAGGATAATAAAGTCAATATTTTTAATCTTTGCATAAACAAAACTTTTCCTTTTTAAACTTACATGCAGATAGCTACCATTACCACTTTCCCTGGTCCCTTGAAAAACATAGCTGCTGCACTGGAGCGTGGCTGTAAGAAGAAATAAGTGAATGTTAAAACGAGTTTCTAAAACAAACCAGACAAACCTTGAAGAGGATCTCCTAAAGTATCTATGAACAAATTACTCAATAACATCCTTGTACTGAAAAAGTGAAACTGCAGTCCTTGAAGACTATTAATTTACTACTGAATCTGGAGTCCTTGAAGACTGTTAATTTACTTCTGAATGTTCACTGAACTGCAGTGAGGTCTTACACATTACTACAAATGGAGGGCTATAAAAAAGATAAACAGCCAAGAGAGCCTCCAGTCTCCACCAGGGGCCACTGCAACCATAACAGCAGGAGCCAGCTGTTCAGCAGGAAAATGAAGAAATCAGTCTATCATGATGGAGCACCTGGACCTAGGGAAAACATCTGCCTAAGCAAAGAGGAAGCCAAGAGTAATGCAAGAACTTTTTTTCCATTAAGAAACCCATTGCATTTTCTTAAATTAACAGCATATTTACTACACTTTTATAGACTATAGGTCAGGCGCATCCAACTCACAGCCCACTTTTTAACAATACATGCATTTTGCATTTGTGAACAATTATCGTCAAGAATGAAGCACAGAAAGAGTCATATTTCACAAAAACAGGGTCAAATATCCCACTAGTTTTATGTTTTTGATGCTCTCTGTTTTTCAAGATTTAATAAAAATACACAAAAAAAAAGTTCCGTTACTTATATACATTAACTATAGCACATTTGATATGAGGCCCAAGACACTCATGTTTGCTCAGTAGGCGCAGGCAAGCCAAAATGTTGGACACTCGATGACATAGGTAAAATCCAAACAGACAATTTTGTTACCAAGAAGGTAACTGAAAAAATAAAAGAAAAACTTACATTAACAATATTTAGATAGTCACGTTTATGAAACTGTTTCACAACCTTTTTCCCCTTTAAAAACTGTCATAGCACATCTCATGATATGTTTCTACCGGAAAACATTAAGACAACACTTACCTTAGTATTTCCAAAGAACTCCCTGTATTCCTTCAACAGCCTTTGGTTTCTAAATAAATCTGCAGCACAAAATTGTTACCATGAATACTCTCTAGTTACTAGAAGTTTCAGGAATTTAAGGTTTTGTGGCTTTGTTCCCTCCCTGAATTCTAATAAAAGCTAGATAGTCTGTGCAATTAAAATCTTCTAAAGGGATTTTTGTTTGTGAAGAACTCCCCCCAGTATTGTTAATCAGAAATAAATATTATGACCTTACACAAAATGCCAAATAAAATCTGCTACAATCCCATAAGTTGTCACCATTTCTATCAACAAAGGATCACATACAGAGGGAAAAACTCAAAAGAGAGTTTTTGCTTTCCTTCCTTTGCCTTTATGTTAAAAGACAAAACAAAACAAAAAAACCCTCCAAAACAAACAAGAAATGAACATCAACTCTGTATAACTGAATCCAAGGGTTCTACACTCCCAATCCTTTTTGCCACAAAAGGGGAGAAGAGAGGACGTTTCACTGCATAACTCTTAACTTCTGTATCTTTTCCACTCACTAATGTGGTTTGCTAACTTCAAAGTAAACAATGCTATGCTCCAGAGGCAAAACTGTTTCAACAATAAAAATATTTTTTTAAAAAACCTCTGATTTTAAAATGCATAACTGGAGTAAGTACTTTGAAGAGGTATTACCTCTCGTGAGATTTAACTGACCAGGTGGATCCAAATCCATTACAAGCTATATTGATTTAACTGTAGCTATTGATAATACCAGGATTACAACAATAATTTTAAGCAAAAGGATGATTTTCGTATGTTTTTACCCCTTCTGAAACAGAAGGGCACTGAAGTCATTTCAGAAGAAAAATAAGTGAGTAAAGATACAATTTAAAGATTTAGATGAGTTTTACATCTTTAGAATACTCTCAGTAAGAAAAATCCCAAACCTTTTTTATCCAGAAATGAAAAGTCCCCCCTAGAAACAAAGTATGCCAACAGATTTCAACTGAATATATGTTCTTGTTATAACACGTGATTAATAAACTATAAGATAGTAACAGAATATTACCATATAGATGGTAATGAGTTGCACTAACAATATTCTATAAAATCTTATTCAGTAATTGTCCAAATTTGTACATTCTCAATGAAGTAACAAATACATTGACCATCTAGTGGATTTCCAATCATATTTTGTTGTTTACTTAAATTAACTTGAAAACTCTATACTTACTTTCTCTGTACTTGATCTCTGCCTCTTTGCGTCGTTTTCTCTCCCTAGCAAGAGCCTCTGGACTACCCCAAACTTCAAGAGACCTGTGCAGAGTAGAAGTATCTTAACAATGATTTTATTTACGCAAGTAATACTTAATGAAACCGCAAACCTGTAACTGCTTCTTGGTTTAACTATGTTACAAATGACTTCCCTAAAAACAGAAAATCACACCACTCCTTCTGACAAGAAGTCGTGCTTTACTTTGCAGAACAACAAATTGGGAGAGAGGCCACAGGGGAGAAGCGTTTCACCATTGAACACATGAACACAAGCCTCCATGAACTCAGTTACAGTTACAAAAATATTCAATACAGTTACAAAAAAAATTCAAATAGAAAATAGAACATAGTGTCGCCCTTTCAAACTGCAAACTTCACTTTTAAAAGCTCCCTCTCATACAATCCATTTTAAATGAGCCAAACATTTCCTTTACAAAAATTCTCTTACTTCGCCTCTACATCCGCTCTCAGGTACACAGTGAAAGTCTCAGTGTCATCATGGGGGCTTCGCCGTTTAATTTTCCGCAGTTGATCCAAATCACTAAGGAAAGTGGACAGTTTAGTGAAGGTTGTATTATTTTAATCCTTAATTTTGATCTGAGTGTATTTTCCACAGTCAGAAGTCCAAATTATGTAATCACACTATGAAAATACAATACATCGAAGACAAAGTAATAAAACATTTCCAGTGAATGATCTGCACGTAACTGACTGTATACAAGTGCTGTATAAAAGTGTACACAGCTTAGTCACCACCGTTCAGAAATATTACGCTGAAAAAATAGTATTTTGTAGCTGAGAATTTCCTCTATCAAACAATGTAATTCTGTTCTTTGTATCTGTTGTAATTTCCTTCAAAACAAATAGGAGGCATTACTTTTGGAGTTAGGCTGCAGAGAAGCAGATTATATTTTACATCAAATCACAGACCTCACATAACATGAAGTTCTCAGCGATTAGCTGCTCTACAGGTGGACACTCCTCAGCAACGTTATGGTCATATAAATACATTAATTTAAGTAGCCACTACAGAGACATGCAAACTAAGTTCAGATTCCTAATGCACTGCAGCGTTAAGTACACAAGAGCTAATGTTAGCCACTTAGTACTATATACTCTGCAAAAGTGCTCAGAAAAAGTTGCTGTGCTGTCACTCTAGAATAATTCATTATTACTTTTCATGCAAAAGTATTCACTATGTAAATTTCAACCGAAACCCACCTTACCTGGATTTGAGACAAAATTCATTAATTGCTCTGACTCCAGTAATGAAGTTGTTCTGCGTATATTTTGGTCCATACTCTCTTTTTTTGAGGACTGCTTTCACTTAAAAACAAAAAGAGGTAAGCCTGAAGCAGAAATTGCAAAATTCAATTCAATTTGATATCAAATTGTGATACCTCTAAGTGGAGATCCGAGAACTACTGTTTGTGAGTGAGGCATAAGATGTGTAAGAAAAGACAGGAACGTTCACACTTGTAGAAGCAAGTAGCAGTAGGATCATTCTATCTCCAAAAACGTTACTTGACTAGTTCGTTCATCTCAAACATTCTACATATCCAACAAGTTCAATGTCAGAAATGCTGTCTAGCTGCTAATACAGCATTCAAGTACGGCAGTTTGGAAAGCCTTGTTCTGACAAATGAAATGGCATCAAAGAACACTGTTTCTTTTTTTCCCCATCACCTAACAATTCCAAATTCTGTAGGTAAGATCTGTAATCTCTGCAGACTGCACAGGACCTCACAATGCTAGTGAGGAGCACTATGATCTGATGAGTGTTGTTTTTTTTTTTTTTTAAACGCGGGAAAGACAGGAAGGAATGTGCATAGAATTTGTGTTCTCAGTCAGCTTCTCTGCAGAAATACTTAATTTAAAGGAGTTTAAATGAAATTTCTGTTTTAAATAAGTTCTTTTCCAGGAATTTAGAGCATAACTCACAACAACTTAATAAAAACTTAAAATACAGATAGAGTGAAAGCAAGCATGACAAATTAAAATGATGAAAGAAAGGTATGTCTTTATTTTATCCAGTTATGTTTTTAAACAATGTAAAGACAAAAGACTATTTACTACAAGCACAAATTGGAACACTGCAGGACTCAGATTAGGCAATTCATGTGGTCAAAATATATTTAGAAACCATACTGATTAGATTAACTCAGCAATAAGAAGGGAAGGAGGAAGACTTAGAATAAGGACTCGGGGAAGATCAAGTATTTCAAGTATTCAGCTTAGCTGCACTAAATCTGAAATGATGAATGGACATGCCTAAAAAGATACAAGGAGGACAGACTGTCATAACAGGTGAGAAAAGTTCATTTTTTTTCCCTGACAAATTCATTAGCTTGAAATCAGTAATTAAAAAAAAAAAAAAGAGAGATTAATTATAAGTAATACTCCTGTGCTCTACTTTTTCAGGAGTCATTTTCAAACAATTGGGTAACAAATACATCTGATATATAAGTAATTTAAAAATGTTATTCACACAACTTTTAATGTAACTGAAGAGAAGACAGCTGCTTTTTTTTGACCACTAGTTGACAGCAGTGAAGTTACAAAACATGAAGTATTTCTTTACCTTTCACTTGGATGGGCTCTTTAAGCAAAGTCTGCTTTTGATCTGCATTGCCAGTATCTCGTCCTGTAAAATAAAAATAAAGCTCACTGCAAATGTGGAAACAACTAGGGTCATTTTTTTTGTATAATAGTTTGTTCAACATAAGAACAAAGCTTAACATTGCTTTTCATAATGATAATTTGTAAAAAAATCCTGGAGTTTCAACATTTAAAACTTTCAAAACATGAAGCATGAATAGTCATGCTTATTCAATAAAACAAAAGACATTTAACATAGTACTGATCAGTGAACTCTTACCAGCTTGAAAAAGAAAACAAACATGTAGCATATAGCAGAATATATCTTGATTTTTAAAAAATATTTTAATAGTGTACTTACAGTTTGGGGCAATTTTAATGCAAAACTTTAGACTACTAAGCACAAGTTCTATGCAGTATATAACTGCTGATCAACATGCAATCAAATTTTAAGGGACTGCAACTTTGAACTTACAAAAAACCCTTGCTATTTAAAATAAATAATATTTAAACTAAAAGCCACAACTTTGGTGTCAGAAATTGGAGTTATATTACCACCAATTATTTTAGCTCTTTCAGAAGTCTGAAGTGATGACTCTAGAAGAAGACAATAAAATATAATTTGCAATACTGTGAAGTGAATCTTATTACATGGAAATTAATAAATCCCAGTAGTTTAAGTGAAATTTTTAAGAAGAAATTTGAAGTATTACATGAAAATTTACAAAAAAACTGCATCTTTATCTCATACATCTTGACACAGCTTTCAGAAAAATAATCTGATGATACCTTGAAGCAATGAGATACTCCCATCTTGATATGATACTCAAATTATGCAGAGGTCAGATATTCTTAAAGCTTGGACTACAAAACTGTCTTTTCATCAGACAGTTACTTATTGCCTTACCAGCAACTAACAAGTAATGCTATTATACTTTGTAAATTATAACAATGTTGGACCATAAACAAATAGTTTTCTTAGAACAGCCAACTCTATTAGTTATTGTTTGACTTGAAAACAAAAGCAAAAGTGCTTTCATTTCTATTCCTACCTGGTTTAAAACAGCAGCCAGCTGACAAATTAATAAATATTATAAGCTTCAGCTAAGATTACTTACCAGAAACTGAATAGAAGTATGACAGCTATCCACAAGAATTTTAGTAACTCTGTATGAAAGTGTCTACCTCATTAAACACATCCCACCAGCACTAACAACAGGCAGATTCATAAAATTTCAGGGGTATAAATTGTTATTTTTCTTGAGCACAGATATCACATCAGTTACCCTCTTACACTTTACAGCCTTGGCCTAGAGACTGGAAAAAAACATCATAGTACATCAATTAAAAAATAAACATCAAATACTTCAATTCACTATGACTGTTTTGCAGGCAAGCAGAGCTTGCTGATGGCAGTACTTGCAAGATGAATACATTCTCTTTTATTTTATATATCCTATTAACAGAAAAAGCATTTCACAACTTTACTGATTAAGAAATTGAGGCCAATGAAAGATTCATTATTTGGCAAACATTTAAGTTACTGGAAAATTATGGCAACCATTACATACAGAACACTATCTTTGGAGAATTGTATCAAAAAGTAATGCTATTTTTAAAACAAATAGTGGTAACATAACCATAATGCAGAATGAAGTTCCCTCCACTAGTCCCCAGAAAACACTCCCTATACAAAATGTGAATGTAACAATATGCATTCCAAAGCAAACTTCAAAGCAAAACACGTGGGCATAATATTTCTATGGGGCGGTTTCATGCGCGCTCACCCTCAGCAACAGGTGAGTCTTACAGCAGCCATATGACACAGCTACCCCTAAGGCTCAGTAGGATTTAAGGCCGTGCTACCACCAAGGGCAATATCTCCTCCAGATCATGCTGAGACAACGTGCAGGACCAGCTCATTGATCAACCTGAACCCCACAGAACAAGAGAGCAACTAATTGTACACAAAACAAGCCTGAACATCATTAATGTCAGCACAGTCAGAAAGGGACAGAACACTCGTTTGGACAACAGTCACCAATTACATAAGTTCACAGCAATCACAAAAGCAATAGTGCTGGACTAAATTCCACATGTCCAACTTCCAAGAACACCAGTGGCTGCATATTAAGAACCCAGAAGACACCAACAACTACCACTGACTCTACATTTTCCTGAACTTCAGCAGATAGTTTAGCAAGATTTTCATCCTTCAGCAACCATCTTCAGATCAAGATATTCCAAGAAATATAAATGGGAGAAGTATTATCCTATCCTAAAATTTGATTACAAACTTTGGAAACAATATCTAATTGTTACACATAGAACAACATCTAAGACCTACTTCTGCAGTTCCAAGCATTAAAAAAATAATACTCTTAGCAGACTATGCTTACTAGCTCTTCAAGACCACTGCAAAGCCTCAGGAATTTACAAGTTACTAAAATAAGAACTAATACCTGCTAACATGATATATGTGATGCTACGGCAGAGAAAGCACAAGACAGTGGTGAATTTCTCAAGTACCTAACTAGCACAAGACTGAAAAGTAAGCAGGGTCAAGGTATGTCTGTTACATCAAGTGTTTAATGTGAACGCTGCAGGTGTGACAACTGCAAGACCAGACAGCTTTAACATATGAAACAGCTCAGCCTTCTTTCACCAATCACCTATGCCCTGATCTGGTGAAGTCCCAGTGTGCAGTATTTACAATCATCCAATCTGCATTACTAGACCATTTCACACAGCAAGCCTGCAATAGTACAGAAAAAAAACTAACAAGCGAAGTGGCCAAAGAAAATTCACGCATTCCATTTGTTACCCAATCTCTGCTGATATCCACACTTTAATTTTGATTACTCTGAACCTAAATCCTTTAAATATTGCAAGGAAAAAGGAGTAAGTTTCAGCATTCCTTAACATTTACATATTTGAAACTTATATATAGATTCCCAGAAGAAACAAATACTGGAATTCTGCAGTTTCAGTATCATAGTAGAATAAAAAAGAATCAGTTGTTACATACACAATTTTTTTTCCCATTTATATAAATGTTTTTTTACTTCAGCCCAATACTACCTGTTCCAACTTTACGCACAGCGTCTTCAGGGGTAGATACATTTTTATCTTCTGATCCGAGATCTTTTTTCTGACCATTGGAGGTATAAACTCTCACTTGACTCATCAGCTGCACAGGCAGACGATTGCACGGCAAAGCACAAAACAGGCTCCCACTTTTCATTGAAGCTTGCCATCCTGACAGAGAGAGGAGAAAATGTTTCAGAGAACAATTTTTAAAGGAAAATGGTCCAGAAATACCAACGTAGGCTATGGAAAATTAACTTAGAAGTACTGATTTGTGCTTATTTTACCAACGCTAAGGATTCATAATACAGAAGGACACCACAATTTCCTCATCCCTCTTCAAACACTCCTTTTAAATTCCAGTCAAATGTTTGTTTGTTTTTCCCTATACACTCTGGCAAGTACCTCTAGATGAAGTTGGGACACAGGTACAAAGTTATTATATAAGACTGGCTTATTGTTGCATTATGTCCTGGTTCCAGCCATACTGCTTCAAAGTCTTAACAAACAAAGGAACAAAAAGCCCACTAGTATTAGTAAATGAACAAAGCCAGACCACTACAACTACTATTAGCCAGTGCTGTCACTGTGTACACGCTCTGTACAAACTGTATGTTACCAATTAACAAAACGTGTTACATAGCTCAACCGAAGAGCAACGTGCTAACGAAATTACCTGCAAAAGCGTATTATGTTTTATAAAAAGCCTTAGCTAAGAAAAACCTTCAATTCTACAGTATTTACAACAGACAAATTACAATACAAACATGCAAAAAGCCAAATAAGAAGCCACACTGGTGGGCAGCCTTCAGGCTGTCTGCATTAGCAAGAATGGCTGAGGCAGCAGAAAGGGCACAGGGCTCCTGTGGAAAAGATGTACTAAAGGAATAAATAATTTCACAAAACGAAAATAGTCAAGCAGTGCTGGTAAATCAGGTCGTGCAAAGTACGACCAACCATGCATGAATAATTCAGCTTGCAATACAATGACTGTTTCATAGAACCGTGTATTCCATAAAAGTACCAACAACTTCACTCTTACTTTTACCCTCTATAGCACACTATGTGTGTGTGCGCTGACTTGAACCTCGCAGGAAAAAAATACCAAAGTTGTCAAATAAGGTCTCATTCTCTCTTACATGTTGCAAGTGTACAAAAGCCCAGGAAATGAAACTCGGTGACCTTACTGATAACAGCTTTTAGAGGACTGCAGCGAATACGTGACATAACACAGGCAGTGCTGCTCCCTACGCTCCAGTGAAACAGAACTGCTCGGAGCTGGTCGGTACGTTTAGATGGTAGCCTTCTTTGCTGCACGCACACACATCCTGTAAGGGTTCACTAACACAGCCGCTACAGAAGAAGGCCTGTGTAGCAGTTCAGCCCAAAGTACGAAAGGGGCTAAGAGTTTTAACCTTGCAGAATCTGCGGCCCAAAGGGAAGGCCTGGCCTTGGTTTACAGACTAATATCGCCCGGTATTCCGCACTTTCGTTCATAAAACGACGGTAAACGAACCACGCGCTACGTTCTGCGGGAGGCCGACGAAGCGCTGGGAGACGCACGCTTGTCACGTCCCGTCCCGTCCCGGCCACCACAGCAGCACCCCGGGAACGGTTTATTGCAAAGCACCCAGGGCCGGCCGCAGCCGCAGCCCTGCCTCAGCGGCACCCGACCTCGCTCCCTTTCGATCCCCAGCCCCACGCAGGGGGGCCGAGCACTCACCGTGGCAGGCGCGGCGCAGCGGGGCCGCCTGGCACCGCACGTACAGGCGGTACAGGCTGCGGCAGCCCCGCCGCGGGGCGGACAGGGCCGGCATCATGGCGGCGACCTCGGGCGGAGCGCGGCCGCTCCCCGCCGCACGCCAGCGGCCGCCGAACGGGCGGCGATGCGCATCGGAGAAGCCCGGCCCGGCGGCGCGGCACCCCCCCGACCGCGGGCGGCAGCCGGCGGTGGGCGGCGCCGCGGCACCCGGATGTGCGCCGATCTCGGGCGGCGCCCGGCGGCCGCCGCTGACTCACGGGCCGCTCCCGAACGACCGCCGCGCATGCGCCGCGCGCGGGCGAGAGCCGTGGCTTTTCGCCGCTTCTCCCACAGGTGGCGGCTTTCGCAGGTAGTAGGCGCGGCCCGGGGCTCGGGCTGAGGCTGCGGTGCGCGTTGGGATGTAGTAACATCTCCTCCTTTCTCCGCAGGCGGGCGGTGTGCGCCCCGCTGCCGCCCCCCTGCGCGGCACCGCCTGCCTGCACCCCCAGCCGGAGCCGCGCCTGATGCGCCTCAGTGCAGGCGGTGCCACGACGGCGCCTTGCGCGCTGTTATAAAAAGCGCGTTGGCAACTTGAGGCTTTCCAGGATAGCTTAGCTAATCGCTTCCCCGGATTTGTTTGTGCGCTGTGAGGAGCGTGGGAACGCACCAGAAGCTCGCTTGGCAGGGAACGTGGATAATTAATGTGTTTGATCGCTTAGGAAAATGACTGCGGTGCCAGTCTTTAACATACCCGATGAGATTTTTCAACAAGGTTTACTGGCACGTAACTTCTTTAACAGTCATCCACTGATTAGCAGCGCCAGTGTGTCTGTATGCCCAGTGGAGGCAGATGGGAGTGAAATGCTGTGTGAAGTGATTAAACCAACACCTCTCTCCCCATAGTCCTGTCGCGGCCGTGCCAGGTGAATGAGGAGCGCTGCAGCAGATGCCGTGTCATTAACCAACAGATGGACAGCACTGGAGTTAAATACTAAATTACTGCGAGTTGTGGAGTCATAAAGGTGGGAACTGATTTTAATGGGGCTGTAACATTCACCTGATGGATGCTTTGCTGTCCCCTTGTTGTTTTAGCATGGGATTTTAAAAAGTAAACAGTAATTTTTAAGAAATATAAAATCATGAGGTTAAAGTTCCCATTTCCCCCCCCTCCCCCCCAAGAGATACCTGAAAGAAATATAGGTAGAAATACTAGAAATCCTGAAGGGTCCAACTGTGCTCCATAGAAAAGATGCCAACTGTTGCATTATTTCTAAAAATCTTTTTCGTTATGTTTATCATTTACTTTCCAAAACCAAATGGAATATCATCACTGAATAATGTCACATTCTTTTATTCAACTGAATTTACCTTGTCTGCTTTTGTTGTAAATATGGAACACGAAGGAAAATAACACCACTAGAACAGCACAGACCAAGTCACAGATGTTATTGGGCTGCTGGTCAGCCAGGATTTACCAGAGCAAGGGCTCTGCATGAACCTTTCCTGATAATGCTTAAACCTGCAGAATGAGGCAAAGAACCACCAGAAATCAGTGGCAGTTTGTTCAGTGTGGAGGGGCCAGGTGCACTGACAAATCACCATGTCTCATGGTGTATGCCTGCAGCATCCCAAGTCAGAGTCCTGAATCCTTAGACATAACATTACAATCGTTAGTTGTCAATCACTAGTAGTGAATTTGCCTGTGACAAAAGGCTATGTACAGCCATAGTGAGCCAGTGAGATACTGCCACTCAGGGAGAAACAGTATTTCAATGGTCAGAACTGCACCCTAATGTTCCACAATGAATAATGGTTACTCATTAGCTAATCTAGGCCCTTTTCTCATGAGATCAATCTAGTTTAAGAAAAAAAGATATAAAAATCTAGTTCACATTTACTACACTCTGACCTGATAATAAAAATGTTTTTAAAAAATTATCTTCACAGATCTCCACAATGAGGGATGAATGTAGAAGGCAGATCATTTCCCTCAATAATCCCTTACAGGATTTTCCATTAGTTAACATTTGATGTTGCAGAGCTGTTGTATATTAGTAAATTTGATGGAGGCCTTTGAGCTACTGGAGCCACTGCCAAAGTTATGTGCTGCATACAGAGCACCATTGCCTTGCTTTAGCAGGGGGCTTCTGTGCCTTCTGAGCTTCTGGTAAGGAAACATGGCAGGTTGCAGGCTGCACCACACAGCTGCCATGTGCTACCTGCAGAGACAGTTGGGGCCAGTCCTGCCCAGCATGCCATCCATGGGGATGTTCACCCTTCCCTTTGCTAACATACCTATCACATGAAGATTTTGGCCTATTGCTTAGTAGAAAGCAGCAGGCTGGCTCTGATTCTGGCATTGGAGTCATTTCCTCAGACTTTCCTTTGGCAGAAAACAAGAGAAAAAGAAAAAAAAAAAAAAAACATGCCACAATGTTAGAACCCTGTTGTATAAAGCATGTAACCTTTACTGAAAAGACTTCTAAGGCTTTTAAGTCAGCAACTCCAAGTCGCATGCTATTCCAGATCTGTAATAATTTCATGGCCACCAAATCAAAGTTCAAAATAAACTAGAAGTTAGTATCTTTAGTTTTCACTGTGCGGGCAAGAGTTTAATTATTCACATGCAGTTCATTCACCTGAATGCCCACTGAGTCATTTCCGGCTTCTTGAAGCAGCTGCAGTCCCCTGTCCTTTTGCACCCAGCAGCAATCAGGAGTCTGAGTCAGAATCTATCTGCTTCCAGGTTGTCCTATTGCTAAGGAAGCCCAGACTCCTCACAGCACACAGTGATAACCTCATCAGTTCCTTGGGACTCCAGCTGAGACATGTCTGATTTTCTGGGAAGCTGAGTAGGCATCAGTACTGCAGAACTGGTTGAGATGGGAGTACAAGGCTGGAGTGGGGGTAGAATTGGGCTCTAGAAGAGAAGAAAGAAGACAGGAGAAAGATGGGTTAATATTTGAAGGCTAGAGATTGCCAGCAAACGTGGAGGCAGGTGTATTATTTGGCCCTTCAAGACACCACTGGCATCTCCAGTTTGGGAGCCTGCAGTGGTATGCTGGAAAACATAGCAGCAGTGCAGCCCCACTAATCCCATCAAGATGAGCCTGGGGCAGATCTGACAGGGTATTTTCATGGTAAATGAGAACAGGCGGATTTGCATCAAAACCTCTGATTGGCTCTGATTTAGCATACCAGTGCAGGCACTTCTTTTAACTTTAATGCTTTTTAAATACTGTTTTCCTAAATGAAGATTTTACACTTCTGAAGAATTTGCTTTCCCCCTGGAGGATTTACTTGCATGTCTGAACAAAAATCAGTGAGAATTATACTGAGATGCATGCAGCTGCAATCAAATTAGGGAAAAGGGAAAGATTCAAGCAGCTGCACACCTATCATGATACAAGTACATCCAAAAGCGTGCACTTAATGGTCATGTGGGAAAAGGAGGGATAGAAAGATCATTCTTTCTGTATCAAGAATCCCACACCTACACGTGCAGGAAGTGACTTCAATCTATGCAATCATTGAAAACTCACCTAGACGCAATCCTGCGAAACATGCTCTGGGGTACCTTCCTAGAGCAGGGGTTGGACCAGATGATCTCCAGCTGGACCTCAGCCATTCCATGCATCTCCGTGAATCTGGATTCCTGCTACTGTAATTATTGTGACTTATGACTGAAATGATTTGATGAAGGTTTTAAAACCTTTACTATGAGATGCTCTCAAGATCATGGGGTCTTTTAGCTTCTCAACAGTTGTGACAAACATAATGGCTTATGAGTAATTATTTAGTTATAGAAACCTTAATCAGAAATCTGTTTTTTCCTTCAATTTCCTTTCTAACGCATAGGACAGGTAGATGTTTCTAAAGCAAAAATACAATAATTCATGAAAAGACATTATTTTCAATTTCAAGAGGGAAAAGGTTCTAGTGTAGACAATATACATCCAGGTGTACATTAAGTTAAAGTGTATTGCTTCGCAGATGCAAGTCATCCACTAGAGGTCATTTGGTTTGGAATAAAACTAGCACACAAAAGAATAATTCCATTTAGATTCATCTGACCAAGTTATAGGTAGTTTCCAACTTTAATGGAAAAATAACTTGCAAGGGTAACAACACTCACCTCCATCCTAAATCAGAAAGCTAGCTAAAATTCTTAAAAAATAGTGCTACATACATACTCTCCTGAGGCAACTTCTTTCAACCTGAACAGCAATATGCAGACATGTATAGAAACAAGAGACTGGAGGAAGCCTCTGGTACCATTAGATCAAGTCTGCTGCTCCATCTGTCATACAATCTTACATGAACAAACTAAACCCCAGTTTAAAAGCAGCTTGGCTCTTCTGCCCCCAGAAACTTTTTTTTTTTTTTTTTTAATTTAAGGAACGTGAAGTCAGTTTGCCTCCTGCTTTTGAAGTGTCCAACAGCAAGAGATTAAAAGCACCTATTCAGTGCAAGTATCTTTTTTAAAGTATTCTTTCCTTACAAATGTGTGATGTTTGGCAAACAGAAAAGACTGTTTCTGGGAGAGACTATAAAAAGAAAAAAAATCAAGCACTTTCAAATGAGAAACAAAAAATAAATGTGATATTTTGATCTCTAAGCCATTTATCTGCTGCTGTAAGTATACGCACAACATCAATCCCCAGCACATGTACACTGGGGTGGAGGTAAGCAGGCCATTTGGCTGCATCAAAGCAATGTTAAAGTTGAAATAATGAGTTGGGAATAGGACCACAGGGTAATTAAGAAATGCATACTAAACTGATATGTGCTGCTCTACTAGACTAAGGTCTCAACATTCCTTTGTATTATACACCTTTATCAGTACTATGCCAATAAACACACTGGAATTTAGAAATGTGTTTTAAGTCAACTTCCCATTTCCATGTTATTAAAAAAAAAAATTGTTAATAATGGCTTTGATTTAAACTTTCTGCTATTTTCACAATAGTTTTGTTGTGCTTTAGCCCTAACTGAAGCTGCTATAACAGAAAGCACATGGAAAGGAATTGCAATAGGCAAATGTTATTTCAAAACACTGGTCAGATTTTCTAGAGAACAAAAGTACAATTCACAGTTTGTCTTTTCACAAAACCCATGCAGGTGCACATACAGTATCTTCTTCTACATTGCTAACATAAAAGGTAACAGAACAATATGAAAAGGAAAAAAAAAAAGCTTAACAAATATACCATGAAACCCAGTATAAATACAGGCCATAGTAAAGCTTTATTTCTTTACTTTTCCACTACAGGAGTCTCAAACATTATGGACAAAACCACATAATCCCACAGCAGCTTTATTTTTCCCTCCAGGTAGATTGAGACCAGCCTGTCTGCCCTCATACAGCACAGTGGCATCTAAAAATTCCAACTCATTTTCATACAGAATAAAGTAGACATAACTTAGAGCTAGAAAATTTAAATGCTGTCCAGAAGATACCGACATCACAAAATCATGGATGGTAAATTGAGGTTTGTGGAAGCTATAGTATACCATAGAATTTCCATACCTCAATTACCTAAGAGCTGAATTCTTTCCCATTTTCTTTTTTCTCCCCAGTCTTTTCTGTTTCTCCCTTCATGAAAACTGCAGCTGACATTAACTCTTGCTGATAATCTAGCCCTGCACTTTCATCTCTGCTTTTCAGTTTCATTATCCTGTAAAAAATCTTGACTGGCTGATGCACCATCTCCATGCAACAAACTCTTCATTTTTTTTGGCATTGCCAAAGTGCATAGGTGAACATTCACAGGGGCACACACTGCAAATTAAAATATAATGATCCTTCCTCCTTCTCAAGAAAATTGCTTTCTCCTCCTTAGGCAGGAGTCCAGGCTGCTCGAGACGTGAGTCAAGCATGTGGAACTCCAGGTAAAGGGAAATTAACTCCCATTAACCATTTTCTTTAAAGAGTAAGATCTTTTGTGACTCCTTAGATAAAATTCATGCTATTGCTTCTCCAGAAGCAATGTAGGACTGCAACTCTGTGGTAGCAGCCAACAGTGACAGAATAAAGCCTGTATGATTTGAGCTGGGGTTGAACAGAAACACTTAAATATGCCATCACTAATGAGCTAAGCCCACAAGAGGAGGATAACACAAGATCACATTTTTTAAACCATACTGGTTCATGATTTTGCTTACTTCTTACAAAAAAAAATATTACACAGATGTAAATTCCAAGCAGTAAGTGCTAGCTAAGACCATTTTTTCAGATCAGCAGTTGCTCTTATGTAGCTATGTGACAATGATTACATCACACAAAGTAACCTATCCTATCCGAAGATTCACAGGACAGGACTACTGCCAAAACAGATACAGTTAACCCCCCTTACTAAAGATCTGCATGGAAATCCAGCAGTAAACTGAGCACATGGTTACATTTTCACAGAAGACATTACAAGCACTAGGTATAAAGCAGAATGGTTCCAATGACTGAAAAAAAGAGGGATCAGCTTTTTGTTCTAATACAAAGCTTAATGTTTTTATCTAGAAAAGCAAACAGGAAGGTGCAGCAGGTCAGCATTCCCTGCACTATTCTTAACAAAACAAACAGAAACCAAAACAACACACACTTAAGACATTCAGCATATAAAGATTTTGGTCAGGAACACAAACTCTGAAACCTAAACTTAAACAAGCACTGTTTTGCAACGTAACATTGATAGTATTTTACATCCAGAAAAAAATATATATACAATTTGATTTCAAGAACATCAACAAAACCATAGCTGTATCAATACAGAAAACAATTTAATTTGTTTCGAAATAAATATTTGACATACAAAGCACATACAGTGAGAAGGGTCACAATAAATTACTAACGGAGTTACTTGCTTATTCACTGAGAAAAGCCCTTGGTATTTCCAATTTTATACCATCAGATTTATCATTCTTGCTGATTTAAGCACAGCACTAAACAAATATGGATCCCAATGCTTTCCTTCACAGGTACTGGCATGGATAATTTACTGCAGTGATCCAATTTGAAAATCAGTAGGGACCAGTAAATTGCTGCATAAAAGAGCGAGCGAATGAGGTGCTTTTTCCTTAGTGTCAGCAGCCTGTGATTATTATGTTTATTAGATTTTCTTGAAAGGGCTTCACATTTTCTCAAATATGCAGGAGAACTATATTTCCCCTCTGAGCCTTACATTAGCATATTGTGCCTCAGTCCTTGAATGCAAGTAAAAGATGAATTTCTCAATTCATTTGAGAAGTTTGTACCATCTGGATAGCACGGAGCTAAGCAATGAAACTCCCTTACCTGGGAAATATCTCCCATTATCACAGAATTGGCTTTTGCAAAAAGTTTAATAAGTAATGCTGACAGTTCATTAAAAAGGTATTTTTGAATCCATGTTTAAGATTAAATTCAATTACATGATCCATACTGATAACGTCTCTTTGGAATAAAGGATAACTTGAGAATCTGTAAGGCTTGACTTTCCTGGGATTTTTTAAGAAACTTACACCACATTAAAAGTTCTATTACGGAGATGCACTATTTCAGTATACTTTAACCACAAATATATGCAGCAATTATAGACAACTGCAACAGATCAGCATAGCCTATTAAAATCTGGCACAGAAAATGCCACTATCACATATTTCTTCCCTCAACAGAAAGACACCAGAGCCATACCTAGCTCTCGCAGGTAGGAAGCAGTCTTTCACAATATTTTAAAAGAGCACGCTCTTCTAGCTCTATGGTCTTTGCCAGCCTTAATCTGAGCACTGCAAGGTACAGTACTTTTTGGAAATAGGACCAAATCATACATAGTATGGCAACAAATCACCAGCCCCTCCAATACCCAACTTCTGTTTTTCCCTCCCACTGTTTGCTCCACTAGAGTTCTTACATCACCTCAGGAGATGAACCTTTTCTCCCACACCTCAATTCCTATCTGTAAAATAGACAAGAACTATACTTGCTTAATTAGAGATTGCACAGCAAACATGGCAATATGGGATCCTAATGATAACGATGGACTATGCAAAGCAACCAACTAAATTATTTGTTTGGACACTACTAGCACAGAGTTAACAGCTCAGAAAGCTTCAGAACAAACAGCAGTTCATGATTATAATTTAAAAAAAAAACACTAACATGGAATTTAAATATCGACCAATATTTGAACATCCATCATAGAACAGTTAGCATTTCAGTTATGAAGGAAAGAAAACACAAGACTGACAGCACAAAACTGATCATGAAAAGACGAAAATTAAAAGACAATAAAGGAAAAGATGGATGCACATTACTTTGTGTGCAAGAAATCCCAAATGGCAATAGCTGTTCCCAACTGACCCAATTGGTCCTGATGTTTTATTTATCTGCAGGTGAGAACAGAACAGGTAAGTGTTATCCTGGAATATCACATCTACAGCAGACTTGTGCACAGCAAGAGGTGCAATTACCCAAAAATTTATCTAACAGCACTTCAACTTACGGAAGTTTAGACAGTAAGAACAATTACCAGTGTGATTCATACCAGTGGGAACAATAACACTATCTAGTAGGCAACCATTCTCTATGACAGGAGCTGTTCTGCTTTGTATTTGGGGTTCACAGTTTTACAGTGAGTTTAAACACTTCTCCACTATCACAGACTTCTGTTATAGTGAACTGTTGACAGCAAAGTAGTATGAATACTAGCAGTTATTAAGGAAGTAGGCACATGAGCAGAATGTTTTTTTTAGCATTGAGAAAGCTTGGTTTTACCAGGAAGGCAGTATATGGCTACAATAAAAACAAAGTTGATACAGAGTACAGGTGAGCTGCCTGATTTATTTTGCTTGAAAATTATTCTTATTCCTTTATTTTGTACTTTTGAGGCACTCCTCTAAGTTTTACCAGGCCACAAGCAAAATCCAGGCCTCAGTTTTGTCAAACAGCTCTTGACAAAGCCAAGAGCACAGCACTAGCCAAATCAAGCCCCTTTTACGACAAAACATTTCTCCACAACCCATTTTTAATACCGCTTATCAGAAAAAATGTTTAAGTTTCACATCCACATTTAGACTTGTACTGTAATCTTATTCACTTATTCCTTTTAACCATCCTTCCCCATTCACAGAGCTGGATCTCAGACTCAGCATCCTTCAGTTACAGCTGCAATATATCAGTTCCAACACACTCAAATTTAATAAGAGCATATAGTTAAAGAACAGCAGACCACATTCACAACAGCTTTCTTAGACCAGAAGAACTTGCTCACAAGAAACATGTTATTATCCTTACACTAACTAACAAAGCATTTATTTGCTTTCCATTCCTGGGATGGGGATGAACTTAGATGACCTATTCAAAAGTGAAGAGCTGAACAGAGCCTGATGTCACCAGTCAAAAACATACAGATTATGAAAAGGTCTAGAACAGTGCTGAAGAGTTGAAATAGTAAGAAGTAGGTCTAGATTTCTCCTCTGAGATCGTTGCTGTAGTGCCTACTCTTGGGTTAAGTTTTGAAGGAAAGAGTAATAAATCTTTGCATTGTAGAAGGCAAAAATTTCTGTAATATGACTTAGAGATGCACAAGATACTGAGCTGTCCAATTTCAAGAGCTGCAGTGGCAACTGCGCACACATAAGCACAAGACTGTGTTCTGCTCAACTTCCAGGTTCAAGTATCAGCACATTCTGTTAAAAAGAAAGTAAGCTTGAAGAGCCTAGCAAATTACATTTAACACTCCTTTTATTGCAGTAGAAATTTTAGGTTTTATAAAATCCTCAAGTTACAGGATATACACATAGTGAATCTTGTTGCAAGTATTAGCAGCAGTAGAGCAGTACTGCATGCAGTTGCTCATGCAGTATGCAAGTGTTCTATAAATAACTAATCATGTTCAGAAAGCAAGATGCAGAGTCAAAGAGTATCATATTCGATTACCAAAAACAGGTCTTTATCAGTACCAAGAGGTTGAGCAAAAAAATTGTGTTAATACACAGCTCTAAAACAGCAAGCTGAAACAACTGAAAAGGCCAAATTACATCCACATTACAAACAAGATAACTCAGTAGTTACATACTTTGCTCTGAAACTGTTTTCAGAAGTGTTTCACATTTCTCTGACCAAGGAAGAAGAGCACGGTACCTTAGGATTTTTACAAAAGGCCAATTATCCCACTTAATTTTATGCAATTAGAACATTAATATTAGCTACAGAAGATAAGGCAAATACTTTCCCTTGAACTTATGGAAAGACATTATATGCGGGCAGATAATACTCTTTTTTCCATGACCTACCTTTCAGCTGCTGGGTGAATACATAATCAGCACTCAATTTAATATTCACTTCTGTAGTCGTGATACTGCCTTCAGATCAGTCATAAGATGGATTTATGCCAAAAAATCCTGCAGCAATTTGTTTCAATAGCTGCCTGAACAGGTGCAATCCTTTATGCAAATTTCCCATTACAATGAAAGTCTCAGAAACTGGAATAACAATTTATATAGAGCTAGCTACAGATTAATCTTCTAAAAAGCAGACATGCTTGAATTACTGCAGTCTCACATTTGTGTAGACACAAGAACATATCCGCAATGATTCTCCAAAAGTTACAACATTTACATTGATTAGTTCACTTAAGAGATGGTTAAAAGTTTAAGCATTGCATCTTTGTCTGAAAAGCCTCCAGGTCAGCAATTTGGCTTGGTAAAACATCTTGTTTTGACAAGACAACTGAATTCTCGACAGTCAGAGCCTCAAGATTTCTCCCAGAAATAAAACAGAAGGCTACATCATAACTCTTCTGAGCTTTTACCTTATCTTTAAATGACATTAGCAGAAATAGGCTCTCCTGAAAAGGTGTTACCTGTACCAGCTTGATACCCTTTAAATTTTGTTAAATTAAACGTGGGCAATATTTTTCACTGAATATAGTAATTTGGACAATAATTCTACATATATTTAGTAAGCAGAAGAATACTGTCCAACACGTTCTGCCTAGGTGTATGTACCAATGCTACCTGCTAGAGACACTCTACCATAGCAGTGGTTCCAGCTAGTATAAACCTATTATGCACAGGCTTCTTAAAGAGTTTTAATCAGCATCCAACAACTAATGATTTCTAAAAAACAATTCTGCAGGACTGGGTACGTTTAGGATAGAATGCAGCTACTTTTTTTCCACCAATTACCAATATAGCACAGTAATTTTAAAGTTTCCATGACTTGTTTTTGATATGCTAAATTTTAAATTATCTCCAAGAAAAGCAAAGACACATTTTTATACAGCCTGGAGTGAGACCAGTGTAAAACCAGAAATTTAATCATCAGCAGAAGTGCCAGCTGCTCATAATGTTCACAATAGACGCGTGTCTGAAATTTGGCTATGCAGCAGTTGGTGCCAATCTGCTTATAAAGGAAATGCTGCTGAGACACAGTCTTCTCACAAAAACAGGACATGAGGGCTTCATTATTAAATGTTCAACAACAATTCTCAACTCAGTGAAGAGAGTCCTGGGGAAAAAAAAAAAAAGAAAAAGAAAAGATTTAAATACTGAATAAAAATCATATAACATTCACCAGAAGCACCTAATATCTAAATTACCCTTTTCATTCACTTATTTTCTAAATAAAATAATTTTAAGAAAATTTACAGCAACAACACACACTAGTTCTAGTTAGCGAGTTCTTTAGATCAACTCAGAGTTGCAGCATCCTGCAAGAATTTCAGAATTCTTATCCTTTAAATGCTAATATTTTTTAATCACCTTTAACTTAGTAAAGGAGAGACATAAAGACAGCAGAAGAATTCCACATTCAAGCAGGAAAAAACAAAAACCCACACTCTAAAAAGAAACCAGAACACCCACTGCAGGTAGGTTGGAAAGAAGAGTGATAATTTCTTATAAGTAGCATAAGGATTCAGGAGGCAAGAAAAAGTGGTGTGCTTGTGTTGCTTCTCATTAGAATACAAACAACCCTGTATTCTAGATTCAACATTTCAAAATAAAAACTTAAGAAATAAAACCTGAAACACTAGCAGCACTTGAAATTACAAAAAGACAAGAAACCAGTCTTATTAGAAGTTTGTTTTCATGCACTTTTTTTTTTTTTTTTTTTACATAAAAGAAAGTATCTTCACAAATATTTCAAATATATATATATATATATATATATTTTTTTTTTTTAAACATGTAGTAAGACCAATTGATTTCTTACAAAATAAGGGAAAATGGAGACAATAAAATTTATTATTCTAAAACCTGTCTTTGCATATCATGGCAGCCCAAGCTGCTGCTCTGGTATTTCATCAAACATTTTCCTAATTAGATAGTAATCAGATAGGAAAGTGAAATTTTACACTATACAAAAGAGAAATCCCAAAAGAGCATTGTCCTGAGCAAATCCTAGAAATATTTATAGTTTCAAGGTTTAAAGCACTGGAAGTTGGTCAAGTCAATGCTAAACAAAATCAATAATGCTCTATTTCATTTATAATAAACCTTACTTATAAATTTAAAGGAGGTAATGAGTACGTTTGAGATCATACAAGTTTGCACGCCTGTTCATGTACATGTTTAGCCTTAGACAGACCAAGAATCTAAAAATATCTTTCCGATAAATGGTTGCAGAACAATTAAAAGACTCTTCTCCGAAAGCATAATTTTTTAATTATGCAAACATGTTCTGGAAGTTCTCACTCAAGGATGGCAGAGCACTTTAGATGACTTCAGTTACATGAAATAAACGTTACTCTAAAGGATTGTGGCAATTTTTTTTTATTTAAAACAAACATACATACATATCCAGATATATTTTACATTCTATAATTACCACTTGCACAGGCTGTGGATTCTCCTCCTCTGGAGATATTCAACACCCACCTGGATGCCTACCCATGCAGCCTGCTGCAGGGGGCCTGCTTTGCAGGGCGGTTGGTCTCAATGATCTCTGGGGTTCCATGATTCTGTGACTTAGTATTATGTGTTATGCATCCATTACAGAATGAAAAATGTCTGTATGTCTAAACACTACACTGTTAAACACTGACTTCCAAAAATAATGTGGTTATTACCTGCAGTACGGGTTTCGCCGAGAAGAGTAGCGTAATGTTAGAAACCGATAGTAAATGAATGGCTGGAGCAGACTCCCTTGACCACTGAAAGAGAACAGAGAAGCAGAGGTTAATGCTGATTTACGTAAATAAAATAGAGTCAGGACTTTCCTGAAGAAAACTTAGGAAACTATCCCAGCTCAAAAAAGCCAGACGGGTTGTATTTGTTCAGACAGTCTAGATCTGACAGCAGAAAACATACATAACCATGCCTTTACAAAGGCAAAAACTTTAAGAAATGTAATATTACTGCATCTGATGATGGGTAAAGAATCACAGAAGTGACAGCACAGGGTAGTTTGGTATTAAGGAAAAGCTTGATGGACCAGCATGAAAATTGACTGATGTGAGTAGTCCAGTTACATTGAGCTTTTTCAGCTCACAGCATGGTTCAGGTTATAGAAGCACTATATTTATAGTAACTTTTGAAAAAAATCTTAGAACATAACGGAAACTATTATTTATGTATTCATATATTAAAGCTAAATAAACTGTTTCAGTTACTCTGAAATGAGATTTTTGTACTTCAAAAAGCTGCTGTTCTACATGACAGAGCTGCAAACCAAGACACAGCAAAGCACAGAAACACCTTGAGCTTACTTGACTGAAGCTTCTTTATATAATGTAATATTAAAAATGTGTCACCACATCATAATTCCAGAGTGGGAAAAAGCAGTCTTGCATCTGTATGGTATTTACAAGCAATTTAACAGGCTTCAACAGTTTGTTCTCTAAACTTACACTACAGTTTCGTTTAATCTTTATACTGTTTTTACATTTGGTATATCATCTGTTACAAGTTTCTACTAGATGACTTATCAACTAGCTCCACTCCACACAATGAATTCTGTATAGAGAGTTAAAAAAACAAAGATCTTCACCCCAAAATTTTGGAGCACTCAAATGTTTCAGACACCAGATACAGATGGTATCCATCAGTTGGTAAGTGGCCTTTGAAGGAAATACAATCCATCGGGGCTGAAGCATTTAAGTGTTCAGCTGCCCTACTGTAAGATAAAGGCAAATGATGCATTCCATCATCTTCTAAGAAAATGAAGTTTCCCTTCTACTGCCTTTGAGACCACTCAAGACAAATGCTCTCACTGCACTGACATGCATAATGCAAATATTCCCTCTCCAAATATTAAAACTAACTCAAACTTCAGTAATTGGCAGACTGTTACATCTATGTGACTTCAGTAGGATTCCAACATGCACATTCTTAAGATCCCCAAAATGAAATCAACAGGCTGGACACAATTAAAGCAGGCAAACCCAAATGGAATAAATATGGAATAAATAAGGGTTTACGGTCAGAAGTAACATGGGAGAGGACATAACCTGCTCCTTCTTGCACTCTTCTAGCACCATGAAATTCCATGCCACTTAAAATTCTGGGATATAAAACTAGAAGCAAGAGTGAACAGACACTTTTCAGTGGGGCTACAGATCAATATTCTGTTACACTGTCCAAAATTTTACATACTGAATGCTATAAAAGGGAGAGCAGTTTTTTTCTTCCATGCCCAACTATACCAGAATGAATGCTGTTTGATTTCATGACGCATCATCTTGAGAAATCTAGGAACCAAACTAAGCTTAAGCTTGATCAGACAACTATACACACACAGATTCCTGTAACCCACAGAATTAACTACAAAAAGTAATCTCATGCACAAAGTTCCCAATTCTGAAAGCATTAATGATAATTCTTACCTGAAAAGCATAAAAACCGTGGCTGGCATCAGAAAAATTTCATTGCAAGCAATGAATTTTAGAATATTTTGTTGATTAGCATTCAGTTTCTCTAGAAGATTTCTCAGAAAGGGCAGGCTATTTGAGCCTCGTGCCTTAAAGAAAAAAAAACATCATGAAACATACAAGTGATATCAATCTTCTTCAGCATAAAGTAGTATTAACATCTACCATTTATGAATCACTTCAGCAAGTGATTGAAATTAATACTGCAAAGAATACTTTTAAGAAGTGTGGAGCCCCCATCAGAATAACCATTAATAATCTCAGGAACCACAGGCACATAAAGCTTAATTAAAAATAAAGCGTGCTGTAAATTCCCCATGCACACATTCCATGTTTAAGTGCACAGGGCCAGCCAGCAGCCTTATTCTGTCCACTAGGATGAAATGCCTGTGGTAGCAAGACAGCCTGGGTCGAAATACTGGATGTTGGAGATGCATTAAGCTGTAGAAAACTGTATATTGAGCAGGTGGTTCACCTGACAAATTTTTTTTTTTTTTTTGGTTCTCAGCCTCACCCTGAGGTTTGTTATTCCACCACTGAAATATAACATTTGACTTCATAGTATGCTATGGTTTAGCCTGAAAAGACAGGTCAGAAGTTTGGACCCCACTGTTACACACTAGCGGCCTCCTTCAAAGAGAACCATTTCCAGAGAAATAATTGGTGTCAACTTCAGCATATTACTGAGTTATAGCAGAAGGAGAGAAACAAACTAGAAGACCTCTCAGATTCTGTGCCAAGATTCCATATTACAGTTTCACTCCAACTCCTCTAACATAGCTGAAGGAAACCACAGCTGCAACTCCCAAACTTGCTTATAAATCCCACGTGCACCAACAGTATTAATCATATTGTATACTATGCCATACTTACATCAAGAACCTTCTTTGTGTATGTGGCAGCATGAAGCAAAGAGAACAGCAGAACTGGGAAAATACTCACTGAAGCAAGAATAAGGAAAATAAAAGACTGAAAAAGTGTATAATTTCCCCACGATATTATGCAAGAGGTTGGCTGGAATGAGCAATACTCGAGTAAGACACATCTATGTTTAACATCTATATTTATAGCTGTTCCATTTTCTCCTTACATCTTCTCTTTGCTATGCATTTTTCTTAGCTTTAAAATCAGTGTATACATATGCATGCAAAAGTAGAACGTACACCATGATTATACACCAGCCTGCCTCTAATGAAATGCATTCTTTCTACATGAAAGGCATGTAAAGTTACTACTTAAAATCCACCATATACACATACCACGTTTTTATAAACAGATGCTACAAAATGCATTTTATCACTAAAGAACGTGCAATTTCCAGCAGTTCAGAGAGCAAGGACATAGACATTCCTCTGCCAGAGGCATTCTAAGAGTAGGACATCAAGCATACACACAATGCAGCATGAAGAAGAGCTACTTCAATATCAGCTTTGACGAGCCACGGGAATAAGCCCTTTTTGCAGAATGTTTAGTTATTTATCTGAAACAGCTGTTACAGAGTAATTGCATCTCCACACAACATATGTTTTACTTTTAGAGAAGTTTATATATAAACTTGTACTGGTCATAAATGAAAGTTATCAGTTTTTCTTAAAAGATCATGTGAGATTGGTTATAGAATTCTCTGAATTTAAGTTTCCGGAAGAGAAAATAAGATAAGAATCAGAGACTGCAGTGCATTATGTACAGAGGTGATTGACCTGAACATGGATCAATCCTACTTTACATAGAGTATGTTTTGTGAATAGCAAACATACTTTAAATTTTTTTAAGTCACAGAATCACAGAATGGCCAGGGTTGGAAGGACCTCAAGGATCATGAATCTCCAACTCCCTTACCACAGGCAGGGCCACCAACCTCCCCATTTAATACTAACTAGACCAGGCTGCCCAGGGCCCCATCCAACCCGGCCTTGAACACCTCCAGGGATGGGGCATCCACAACCTCTTTGGGTAGCCTGTTTCAACAGCCTATCACTCTCATAGTAAAGAACTTCCCCCTGGTAGCCAACCTAAATCTTCCTCCTTCAGCTTAAAAGCATTTCCCCTTGTCCTGCAAGGGATGCAGCATGGGTGATGAAAAGAATCAAGTTTTTTTAGATATTTAAAAATGTTACCAGGACAACCCAAGCAAAGGATACTTGTGACAGGGTAGGAATTCACAAAGATAAGAGAGTACAGCAGGTAGTGACAGCTGTCCTCCAGCAAAGCCTGGGCCAGAAAGGCCCTGCTAAGCTGGAAGTGTGGTAGCCTTTGGTGTAGTCGGAGAGCACTAGTGAGAGCATTTGCCAGCAAGGCGCGCTGATAGAAGCTTGCTGCTTCATGCAACCTGCAAATCATCAGAGGAGACGTTACCATATGAACCAAGCCCCTGTTCAGAAGAAGCCTTTCACCCTTGAGAATTGCATCACAATTGTGCAGTACTTTTCATATTTCTGTTATCATACATAAGCACTGTTATCAAAGTACACTTAAGAACTGGTACAGTGACTTAATGCAGATGTTGAAGGTAAAAATAAGTCACTATTCCCTAACTACATCAAAACATGAGTATTTGCCAGTACTTGACAATTGCTGAGCATTTTCTAAACATACCAATAAATGTTTAAAGCCAATCTTAGATAAGATTTTACTAATTTACTTTTCTCACAAACTAACCCAACAAACTAAATAATAGAAAGTTACCCTTAAATGGGAACCACTCTATGAAAATGAAACGTAGTCACTTACAAACTTTTAATGTTGTTTCATGTTAAAATACATACCCTAGAAGAGGCAGGACAAATAAAGCAGAGCAGTAAACTGTGAACAAGCGGGAAATCCACATTGCTGTATCCAACTTGTTAGCCATCAGAAATTGCTACAGTAAAAGATAACAACAACAAAAACACAACCCCAAGTAAGTTGGTATCTTAATATTTGCATACAAGGAACATTTTTCCTTCAGCATTAAATGGCAGCCTTGACTAGGACCAAATTATTGCCTGAAGAAAAGGGAGTATTTTCATCCTGCACGATTCTAGATTCGCACAATGTTTCAGTGTACCAACCAGATTGCAAATGGAGCCTTTTCATTCTGAGGCAGCCTTCTGTATCCTACAAGACAACACAGCACTGAAACCCTCTGTAGAGGTAGTGAGTGTCTCTACACAGACCAACCTCACCAGGTAGTCAACTTCAAGAACTTCTCATGCAACATCTTCAGACCAAACTGGCTGCTGTATCTATTGCTCCAGGGCTCATTTTAAATGAAACTTCAAGCAGCTGGGCCTAGGAACACCACGCTTCTTACGGAAGGGAAGAAAGAAGTAGCAAACTGAAGCTAACATGACTGCTTCCAAGGGAAAAGGGCATGGCTTCAAACAAACAAATGGAATTCCCTACTCTCCAGCACTTCTCCTGTTTTTCAACACTGCTTAGCCACGGTCCCCTTCCCTGGTTTACACGGCCCCGGCACCAGGAAGGCTGTAACAAACCTTGGCACACTTTCAGTTACACACACCAGAACGCTGCCCTCCTTCCCACCGCACTCCTCGCAGGTTACCCGTGCTGCTTCCACATTCGTGTGCTTCGCTTTGCGTTTCACTTCAGCCAGGACCTCCTCCTTTTTTTTTCCGTTCCCTCACCCTCAACCAGCCTTTGAAGCCAGCTCTCGCCTCCTGCACTCCCAGCCTCTTCGTACTACTCCCCCCCGCCCTTGCCCGAGCGGCATCTCCCGGCACCGGGACCGCAGCCACCCCGCGGGCAGCACCGGGGCCGCGGGGTCACCGAGGAGAGCCGGCCCCGCTCCGCGCCCCCATCCGCCCCGCGCGGCCGGGCCTACTCCGCCCGGCCCGGCGCCGCTCACCACGGCTCCGCCGCCGGCTCCGCCTTGCACGGGTCCGTTCTGCGTAGAGTCCGCCATGGCCGCACCTGCGGAGAGAGAAGCGCCTCGGCCGGCTCTGGGATCGGGACGGCCTACCGCTTCCCACCCTCGCTCCCGGCCCTGCGGGACGCACCGCGGACGCCTCCGCACCCGACCCCACGCGCCGCCGGGCCCTGCCCCGGATGCGGCCTGATGTCACTTCCAGCGCCCCGTGCGGCCTGCCGGGCAATGGAGGCTCGCTGACGTCACGCTGCCCGGCCCGTGACGTCACAAGGCCTTGCCGGGAGCTGCGGCGGCGTTGGGCTTGAAGCCCTGCGCCACACGGGTGCCCTAAGGCGGGGCAGGGCGCGGCGCCCGCCTGCGGCCCCGAGCTGCCTCTCCTGTGCAATGACATCGCCATGTCAGCACGGCAGCGGGCGTTCATCCTCTCCTACGGCACCTCCGGCTCTGCCGCTCCCTCCCGGCCTGGCACTCACTTGCCCGCTCGCTCTGTGTGCTCCCCATAGAGCTGGTGAACCTTATCAGCAGTGCTGTCGTGAAGTCAGATCTGGACGGCACAAGGCACAGCTCTCCGGCTCACTCTGTAATACGTAGCATAGCCATCTGAAAGGCCTCGGAAGTGATTAATGCTCCTTCATTGATACGTTCTTTGTCTTAATATTGATTTTTTAATTGATCTGAGCCACGCACATGTGATTTTATTCTTGGTTAGAGGTCCACGAATGGAGCACAATTCCACTGAAGCAACTATCTAGCAAAAGAAGACAAAGAACCTTGAGAAGGAAGCCCTCGCCTTTTGGCTTGGTCTGAGCTCTGGGGTTTCTCTCAGGGATGTGCTACAGGTTCCCCCTCCTGGTGACAGATTCCAGAAATGCAAGCCACCTGCTCAAGTTTCTAATCATTCCCAGATGCTTTTAATTACTCTTCAGCAGGAAGAAAAAAGAAAACAAAAAAAATGTTTCGGGGAAGGAGGCTGTTGGAACGATCAGCCGCAATCAGTCGCATTTCTGGCTTGTGATGATTAAACTTAAAGATTGATTGGAACAGACTCAGGAAGGCACCAGGAGAATGTGTAATGAAATATGTTGACAGGGAAAGAGCAAAAGAAGTCAGCTGATAGGGTCTCAAATATCATAACCATTACAAGCAAGTTAAGACTTTTTGCTAATTAACACATTTCAAAGTGAAGATGCAGAATTTTCACTTCTTTTCCAAACCACTCATTTCGTCTTAAAAGTGCTGCAAAGCAGTCACAAGAACTGCCTGCTATTTTGGAGCAATTCCCCAGGTGGAGAAGACTCTGGGGTAAAGCGTCCAAATTGAGAATTGGAGCATTCCATGTGTCTACTGCATGTTCTCAAATGTGCTGTTAAAAGACTGATAAACACTTATGTTAAACTGAAATTAAGGGCTGTGAACACAGCCCTTATAAATTAAGTTTAACCGTTACCAGATTGTTTTCCTTCTTACAAAATAAAATATTAACTTACCTAGATTTACATCTTTAGATAAAAGTGCAGTGTAGAAATACACCTCAGAAAACCCGAGATTTAATTATGCCCAAGGTAAATGTCACAAGGGGAATAACAATAAAATAAAAATAGTATTAAAAAAAAAAAAAAAGCCTTCTGATGAGTCTTCAATATTATATATTTCATAAATAGCCCTGGGATGACAAATGCATGTTGTTGTCAGGAGTGTTTATTTAGTCCTTTGCATTTCTAATTTACAAACAATTGAACACACTCGTGCAGAACATTGACTTCTAGAGTCTGGTTTGTTGTCTGTCAGACATAACATTACATTTTAACATTTTACATTACTGGATGTGGCTCTGGGCAGCCTGGTCTAGTAGCTGGCAAGCCTGCCCACAGCAGGGGGCTTGAAACTAGATGATTTTGAAGGTCCTTTTCAACCCAGGCCATTCTATGATTCTATGATTTTACGTTTTCTTCTTGTAGAAGTTGTCTTTCACAGATTGGCCTTAATTTTACTTAAATAGAATGCTTTTCTATTGTTTATTCCTAAAATTTAAGTTAGAAAACTCAACTAGGGATTAGGAAAACTTTATCAGGAAGATCAGACTTGGGTCATTACTGCAGAGAAGTTGTCATTTTTTATATATTGATTTTCTTTTCCTGACGTTCCCTATCACTTTCATTCTCCATCTATTGTTACTTCTTGTTCGATATAGTCTCTCCTGTTGAGCAATTTGGACCTCAGTACTGTTCACTTCAACTTGAGAAAAAAACATTAAGTCATATCTTCAGAAATTAAGTTTCAGCTATTGGCTTCTCCCATTCCCAATTCTTCTCTGCTATAATGTTGCTGATTGAGCAGAGAGAAGCAGCAGAAATTGATTCCTATGTTATTAATGATTTGGTTTTGACAGCTGTAAGGGGGTTCTTTTGTACCATCAAGGCACCAGTTTGCTTACTTCTGCTACCACTGATGATTGATTCAGAGATGTAGAAGAGTATTGTTGTAATTGCCAAGGACTTATCTATCTCATTAGCAATCCAGTCCCATTTCTCCTCCATGGCAGTCCAACACAATCAGCACAGACATATCTAAAATCATAACTAACACATCTCTCTGTTTAACCCCAGTACATTTATAAGCCCATAGAGAATTATTGGCACTAAAGGTACTTAGGATCAGCTTTCTTAATTTAAAAAAATAATGGATACTAGGAGGTACATTTTGACATTTCAGACCCAGACATCCATTTCCACTAAACCACTTTGAAGCCTCAAGGAAAAAAGTAAAACACATGTATTGTCTGTAAAATATTTCATATTTTTAAGAAAATATGAATGCTTTGCATTTGGTTAACTCAGGCTGAGTCTCCAGACACTCACAATATCAGTGAGAGTTAGATATTACATGGAGAGTTTAGGTCAGAAATGCTATATGTATGCAAAAGCAGTGCCATAGCTGGGCTGAAAAGGGAATTCACTGTTCCTGAGTCCCCACTGCCACTTTCTTTCTGAGTCCCTCTGTGTTTCCAGATGCAATCATCTTCAATTCCATACATAATTTGAAGACAGTTTGCATATCTGAAGACGAGGGAGGCTTTTGTTGTGTTTCGGATTAATTGCTAAGAACCTCATTACAGACACTATGGAACTATTTTATGAACTATAATTATTATTGAATAAATTTGGAAAATGATAAAAAAATGCATTGAATTTTACATGTTGTCTTAAAATTGGACATTTTACTGCTTTTCTAATAGTGTCACACCAGTATCATACAGTTGTCGTCTTCAGCAGCTTCAATTCCCAATTATTTTAAAAGAAATTGGTGTATCATTGTTTAAATGGTGTTCATCACCTTGCAGCAAAGAGCATTTGAGGTTCAGATAACGATTTATCTGATTTGTACTTCTTGACTTGTTGCTAACATCTGCTTACAGTTTTTAATTTATTTCAAATAAAAGAGAAACCATTCTTATAAAGCCAATAGGATTGCAATTCTTTGTGGCCAAACCAGCTCCATTGGCTCCATTATTTGTATCCGTAGTGTGTAACGCAAAGCTCAAGTAAGTTTTTATGCAAAGTTGTAATGAACAATTTGGTTCTTGTTTGTGGTTATCTCAAGCTGGCTGTCCAAATTTCAAGAAACAATAAAGGACACTGGGTCAATCAATGCCTGTTACATTTTTCAGAAGCAGAAACAGAAGTCTTCTGTCTCTCTCTACGAGATTGCTGTGTGGTTTTTTGCTTGATGGTCTGTACCAATATCAAATGTGGTTTTATTTCTTTACTCTCACAGCTGGAGTTTCCATTTACTCACCCTTCCAGGAAGGATTAGCCTTTTAATTATTAAGTGCCTGCCAAAGAAGTGAAAGAGAGAAGCCACAACCTTGTTGAAGATGTGGAAAATAGGAAGATAGTCCTCTCTTTTGCTTTCTATATTTTTGTAATTTCCAGTGTTTTAATATATTCCTACCTTATTGGGATGGATGATGCAGAAGCTACAAGTGTAAGCCTAAAATGTTACAAAGAAGTATGATAAATGGATGTGTATTTTGTTAAGAGCAGAGATATGTCCAGCATGTAGCTGAATTAGAAAGCATTGTTACCTGTGTATTTCATTTGCAACATACATGAAAAATATTGGAAACTTGAAAAATGGAAAGAAAGATGGGCAAGTGTCCTTTTAATAAATACGAAGATTTTAGAATTTTGCAGCAAGAGAACATATGAACAAATGGAAGAATACATTGAATTATAGATGTGAGCTTTCAACTACCTGTTCAGATTAGAAATACTGCTGCAGGAAAAAATGATAAGTGTCCTCTTGTGTGCCCGGAGAAATATCTGGAGGTGTAGTGATTAATGCTGATTGCTGAACTGAGTATTGGGTTCATTGACAAAAAAGTTGCCCTTCCCCTGCTAGCCATGGACTACAGCAAGCCAATATAAATATGGGGCAAGAACAAATCCCACGTTGTGAAGTTTCCCAATGAAAATTTCCATTCATGGTACAACGTTAGCTGTATGAACCATTCCTTTTCTAAAATATCGCCCCGAGTAAAACTGAGCCAAAAACCTGCACATTTTGGTAAGAGTAGCACTTGACACGGTACTGCAACTATGAACTGAAGACCAATATCGCTATGATTTGTGGTCCAGCCATTTTCAGCAGATACATTTGTGAACAGAATAATGTTTCTGCCATCCATTCAGCATAAACAGATGTTTGCAGATAAATAACAAGGACTGCAAGCCATATAAGTTGATTTAATGTGAACCACCAAGAAGTTTTCTGCTTTTACCTTACTTTTTCACTCAGGATGGCTACATCAGCCAAAATACAGGAAATCCCACTCCATTCACATATAAAGCCTTTGTTACAACTGCAGCATATGCAGGGACTGCACAGTTTTTGTTCTTTGCACCTCTAAAGCTGACTCTGAATTCATTCACCAGCATAGATTTTTATTCCACATCTGTCAGTATTGTTTGCATTCTTAAGATGGCTACAAAAGTACCTAGGAAGTAGATGTTCTACCTAACAAGATTAGAGGAGGCTTCAAAGATAAGCTTTTGATTTTTGACAGTTTTTACTTAATCCTATATGGTTTCCTAACCAGTGTAGGTCTGAGTCATTTCATTTATTCTACTTTCTAAATTGTTCTTAATCTTTTATCACATACTCCATTGCTGAGTTTTCAGAAGAACCTTGAGATGAAAATAAACTACAAAATCAGTAACTTCCTGCATTCTTTATGAGATCCAAATCAGAAATACGTAGTTAAAGAAAATGGGAGGAATGGAAGTTAAGTGACAGTAACACTTGGAAATGTTTTTAACATGTTACATTAAGTTGTTTAAGCCCATTGGAGTGACATGTCTCCTTTAGTTAAGTTGCTATTTTTTGGTTGTGGGCAGGAGTGATATTTTTACCCATCATTATTTGTTCATTTAACAAACATGAAGCAAATGCTTCAAGGGTACCAGTTTATATAATTAATCTATCTAATTTTTTTTATTTTATTCCATATAATTTAATTAGATTATTCAAGGTTTATAATCATTACCAAAAAGGTATGTGCATATTTTATCCAACAGTTTTTTTGTAGCCGTCGGTAATCAATAAGAGCTCAGAACTTAGGAAAGATAAAGAATACATGGAAAGACAATCAGGTTAATTAGATTTGTCCTTCCAAACAGTCATAGGTAAAGTCCATCCATTTAAATCTGATCTAATCGTGTGCTGAAGTGGCCTGAAATTGAATGAAATCAAGCTGTCCATATCCTAGAAATGTTCTTACTGAGATATAAAGATCCTCAAGGATACCAATTAGTCAGATAGTCTACTGATAAGTCAAGAATAAGCTTCTCACTCTGTCTTAATGCTTCTGATTTATATATACAGCATGGTGACTAGTAATGGAAGCTTATTCTTAGAGGCTTGTAACTTATTGAATTCAGTGTTCCATGTTACGTATTTCACAGTAATGAACTTCTGTTTCTTAGTTGGCAATCCTGGGTTGCTTATATATAGGCACCAATAATTACTTCATTGGGAAGCTAAAATACAGGGGAATTAGGGTTCAAGGGAGGTATCTGGCATTATAAAAAGAAGTACTCAAGCAATATAAAGAAGCACGTATACAAAATGAAGAGCTTAACACAGAGCAAGTTGAATGAGGTTACAGTTTCTGAAATGTAACAGCTAGTAGTGTATCAGACAGTGTCATGTGGAGCAGGCAGGAAGAGAAGCACAGGGAATCCAGGGACTGCAGAAAACTGTCTAAACTCACTGTTAGCTTCTTCACAGAGGCTTAATGAGGATTTTGATGAATTTCTGAAAATCAAGCAAATTCCCTTAATCTCATTTTCCTAATCAAAAATAGAAAATAGGCTTTTTTGTCATAGATAAGATTGTCCTACATTACAGTTTGTCCAAGACTACCATGAATAATTATTTGGTAAGATAACATATCCTCTGCCTTTGTTTTAATATTTGCTAGGGTGAGGGTCTTTATTAAAAGCCATGAAATTTGAAAAATATGACATGCTTCTCACGTGATTCCTTCAGAATCGTTTGTCTGCTGAGAGAAGCAA